CAATGTATACACGGGACCTCGGTTTTTCGTCTCATCCGAAGGACTAGACAGCTGTCCTTGTCAGGCCCTCTGTCCTGCATCACTGACAAGAGGGAACCACGCCGGAAAATCTGGATGAACTTGATGAAGGACGGAGGGCCTGACAAGGACAGTTGTCTAGTCGTTCCGATGGGACGAAAAACCGAGGTCCTGTGTACACATTGGTGTGTACGTAAAAGATCCCTTGAAAGTTGGATTCAATATAAGAATAGGCCGCAGTGCCGCTGCCCGGTCAAAATTTCCCTCATAGTATACTGTATGGCGTATGCCGGTCTTCATTAGCCCAGTTCGGAGCAAAACAGCAGGACGTTAAACCCCATTTCATTTCATTTCATGTATATCCGTGACGTGCAATGGGTGGTGCGTGTTTGTGAAGCGGAGAAGCGTTCGTGACAAGAAACATGTTTTTAGTATCATCCGACAGACACTTTGGCAGACACTTCAGCCTGACAAGTGGAAACCCACGATGAAAAATCCGGAGGAACTTTCTCGGACAATAGCCTACCTGGAACTTCGCAGTTAATGAGTTCTATACTTGCTCACCGAGCCGTAGTGAGGCAAGATGGCAGCGAAAACGCCGAGCATCGCACGCTCATTGTATTAGGTCAACCTGTTTGCACTGAATTTTGTCTGAACGCATCACGTTTATAAGAGAACCCCATATTCAACTGAGGAATTCATACGCTCGTGTCCTGCATAATCCATGTACAACGATGGTGCCGAATTTACCCGTAGGATTGTATATAATATTTTTGACATTGTCGTTATCCTTTCGAACACACTCTGTAGTCTTAAACAGCCGCCACAAACCCCGGCTTTGCTAAATTGTGTTTAAACACACGTTCATCTTCCTCTAGTCGTAAGGGGGGGGGGGTCGAATGGTTAGCACGTGCGTGCTGTATCATACGGTCTGTCATTGAGTCAACTGGTGTGGTTTCGAATCCCCGGTTGTACGCGACAAGGAGTAGGGTCGCCTGTCCAACCTCGTGGGTTTTCTCCGGGTCCTCCGGTTTCCTCCCACTGCTAAATTCAAAAATCTAATTCACCAAATCGATGCAGAAGCATGCCAATTTTCATGCCGATCGGAATTGAATTGACAGAGCCCTTTGCTTTTCCGAAGAGCGTCAACCCAAGAAGAATAACAAGAAGATCAACAAGATCTGTAGCGGTCAGCGATCAGTTCCTGGTCCAACAAAATAGTTGTCATTCCAGTAAGTAGCATGGAAACGGCCATTACACAACACACATTACGAATCATTCAGCATGTACTATCTGCGAATGGATTCGTAATTTAATGGGTTTTTTTTTAGATTTATTAGTATGGTATGAAACTGGAAGAAGTTTGACATTTTCAGCCAATGTACTCCTACGATTTGAAATATACAGTCCTTCAAAATAATAGTTTTAGCTAGATGAATAAGGAGAATTAGTTATATATCACTTCTAATGGTCGTAAAATATCCTTTTAAAGTTGTAGTGTTCTTCAGTTATAAATATTTGACCATAAATCAGTGAGGATTACGAAGAGGGTCAGCGAGTAACGCACTGGCTCACTAACTTGTAGGTCTCGGGTTTCATCCCGGTGTTTGAGAACGTTTCTCTGGATTTTCAGCGTGGCTTCCGTTTGACAGTGGTTTAGGACGGGATTTCGCCGGAAACTCCGTTAAAGTTAAACTGCATTTTATTTTTTAGTGACAATTTATTACACGGACGACTATAAAGCGAAAATTTAAACTTAAACTCACAAGAAAATATATAATTCTAATATGTATATGAAGCCAGCACAAAAAGATTGCAAATAAACTGATGAAAAAAGAAAAAAAAATATAGACAATTTCATCTCACGAGCAAGATATACGAAAAATAAACCCAAAATGTTTACATAGCGCAATAAAATCAGAGTTATTTATATTGATTTTTTGGGAGATTTGGTTATATACATGCATACAATGAACATAAACGTCTCTGTATGGCCAGTTTCATCAGCGATCCGTGGTCAAAACACCCTTAATCATTTTCCCTGATTCAAGCAACACGAAATGTAGACGAGATAGGTTGAATAAGATCATATTATTACAGATACGTGGCACCGTTTCTCTTTCTAGCATGGCTACTGTTAGATCAATACTTATTAATCGGCAAAGATTTGATGAGGATTCGGGATGATGTAGGGTCAAATGGCGGATTTACACCCTAATGGTGGCCAATATCAACTCTTATTCAGGGGATCAGCAGCCATTTGTCAGCGTTTTCTTATTAAAGTACATCCGTTATTTTTATTGCTCAAATCTAAAATAGATAGAATAAGCTGAAACGATACATTTAATTTGGTATTTTAGGTTGTTTTTCCTGGAGCGTTTGTTTTTATGCAAATAACTAACAGTTCCAGCTTATAACAACATAGTTTTGAAACTAGCCAGTACTTCAATTAATAGAAGACGTTGAATCGATACATTTATTTTGGTATTTTAGGCTTATTTTCCTGGCCCGTTTGTTTTCATGTAAATAACTAAGGTTTCCAGCAGCCAGTATATTAATACTTCAATTTGTTACCCAATATTTTCCAATTGAGGGACTGTACCTGTTGCGTAATCTAGCCTGTGCTATAATTTGGATGCACCGGTGCGAAATGTAAGTCTTGAAGGAAATCGTTTCCTGTTTTTTCCTTTGAAGGAAATGACGTAAACTGAAAAGAAAAATTACACATCCTTTCACTACGCCAGTTATAATATTTGTGTTATCAATTGGCAAATAAATGTTCTTTTTCCGTCCAGAAAACCAGTTGTAAAGTTTCAAACATTTGTGACTTTCAAACCTCGATTTCCTTTATATTTTACTTAATGTTCGAAATGTCAAACAATTTAAGATTTTAGATAAACAATCTGTAATCAAAATGTCAGAATATTCCATTAAGTCCAAACTATATTTTTATCTGAAATTGACGACATTGTTCAGACGTGCGCAGAAGCAGTCATGTTGAGAATACTATTGGCCATCAGGAATCTCGAACACATTGCCTTTGATAATCGCTCGTGTGGAACACGATTTAAACATTTTTATACTGACAATAAGTTCCATGGCTTTTTCTAAGACGACCAATAGAAAAGTGAACAATCTCCATCCGACGTTCTGGATACGCAATAAATCAATCCAGGCTACATTATTTGCTAATTTCTATGAAAAGTACTTCTAGGACTAAATTCTCACAACCAATAGAATGCAATTTTACGCTTGTTTGGCTCTATATAAATTACGTTTTGTTTGGCTACACAAACTTGGGTTTGATAACTTAACGTTTCAATTCGTGTCTTTTTGTCGTGATAAGACACAATTTGATCGCTGCCAATATCCGATTGACCCCTGACCGTTAGTTTCGTATCGTATTACGTGTCTGACCTCTGTAACACGGATTCCACACTTGGCTATTCGAGACTAACCGAGTGAGAAATATGACACGAGCGAAATTTTTATGTAAAATATAATTGAATCAAGTCAATGTCAACAAGTGAGTTTTAGCGTTATTTACAAAACGTGACCTTTGACTGTTGCTGGCTTCCTGGAGGCTTTCACTGTGATTAAATTCTGTCTACACGGATACATTTCACACAATTGGCTTTTCTTTCCTGGTATTCGATTATAAATCTTTGTTGGAAAGAACCTATCATTGTTGCTCATCCAGATAAACATATTTAGCAACATATCACCGAACTGGAGGATTTTTTTATTATCGGCATGTACAGAATTTTAACTTATCGAAATGATTTTACTATGGTTTAACGTCCTACTTGTCTGCACCGACTGGACTGATCATGCGCCATGCTGTGTGCTATGAGGGTAATTTTGCTCAGACAGCGACACTACGACCTGATTTCGAATTCCAACGGTCAGTGGTACTTTTACGTGCACGCCAATGTGTACACGGGACATTTGGTTTTCGTTCCACCCGAACGACTAGTCACTACTTCCTTGTCCATCCGCCCTACTCCACTGACAAGGGAGAACCCCGCCAACACCGGGAGCGAACCCGAAACCCCTGGTTATCGAGCCAGCGGCTTACACACTGCGCTACCTCGGCCCTCGTTCGAAATAAAGGCCACTCGAGCTAAGTGTTGGGTGACAATAGCGTGCAATAGAACGAGAAGGTCGATCTGTTATCTGACAAATGAACACCGGCACCATGATGAATCAAATCCTAATGAACTCACACTTAATGCAGTGACACGAAATGTCCGTAAATTAGATTTAAAAAACAGTTATCTCGCCACTGTAGCTTTTGTCATTATCAGTAATTCAATACAATAATCACTAAGATCTATTCTCTCGACACGCTACTGGTATTTTATTCGTCTTATAACTGCTCATTTTAACGGCGTTTACAACCATTGTCGGAGAGAGAGGGGGCGTACACTCACCAAAGGTTTTAAGCAGTGGGGGGAACGCTTAGGCACAAAACCTTACCACTTGCCACCTACTAGTCGGGGTTCGCAAACATGACATAGGACTGGATTGAAAGCTTTATAATACCCTCTTACTATTCTTTGAAAATAAAGTAGATGTCTCATCTGTTTCCCAAGGGCGCACATAGGGATCTTTGATTTTTTAAACTGTTATTGTGTACATGAGGGATGGAAATTTATTTGAAATGAAAATTAACGTCTCATTTGCACCAACCACGTTGGAGAAGGGCGTGCGCCATGCCATGTGTTATAAAATAAAATGGAGAATAACGTCCTACTGTTCTGCGCCAACGGGGCAATGAAGACGGGCATATGCCATGCAGTGTGCTGCTATGAGAGAAATTTAGACAGGCAGCAGCGCTATGGCCTACTCTTACTGTCAAGGGTTATTTTACGTGCACGCCAATGTGTACGCGGGACCTCGGGTTTTCTTCTCGCTTAGACGATTAACGACTTTTGCTCTTGTTAGGTGTCCTCTCCCAGATAAAAATACAACAAAGAGCAGAACTTGGATAAATTTATTTCAACCCAACGCTGAAAAATAAAAAAAATATATTTTCATTAGTAATAGATGGGGTTTAACTTCCACTCACTTATTATTGTATTTGTTCGTTAGCTGGGCAGCCTGACGTATTGTGGTATAACTACGAGGGGTGATTGATAAGTAGTGAACCTCGATTGGAAAACCCTGTAACACAATGATACCACGTTTTGCACGCGCACTATTATGTTCCTCGGGCTCTGTCACAAACTTTCATCACATTCGGTTAAACTGTTTGGTTGTGACAGGTCATAACAATTAAGTAGGGTCTGTTGTTATCAGAAATTGGACCATATCGAGGCGAGAGCTGGGATTAAGTATCTGCATAAAAAGGGTCTAATGCCGAAAGCCATACATGATGATATGGTTGAGACATTATGAGATGATGCTCCTTTATATGCCACAATTAAAAGGTGGTCAGCTGAATTCAAGCGTGGCCGAGACAGCACTGAAGACGAACCATGCCCTGGTCGATTAAAAACTGTGTCAACACCTGAAATGGTACAAAAAATCCATGATCTGATAATGAATGACCGGCGAGTTATTGAACGATTCATAGCTGGGGTAGTTGGTATGGGCCAGGAGAGAGTTCATTCTATTATCACTGAAACTTTGGAAATGACAAAGGTTTCAGCACGGTTGGTGCCAAAGCTTTTGACGCCTGATCAAAAGCGTTCACGACACATCATGTCAAAAGAGAATCTAGCCTTATTTGAAACCGATCCTGACCGCTTCCTAAAATAAATTGTTACTATGGATGAAACTTGGGTCAACCACTTTCAGCCAGAAACAAAAGAGCAGTCAAAACAGTGGAAACATGTGACGTCGCCGACCACAAAGAAGGCAAAGACTGTTTCATCGGCAGGAAAGGTGATGGCCTCAGTATTCTGGGATTCTGAGGGTGTTCTCATGGTGGATTACCTCCAAAACGGCCAAACAATTAACGGCAGATACTATGCAGCACTTATAAGGCAGTTGAGGCAAGAAATTAAGACCAAAAGAAAGCTGACCAAAGGTGTGATTTTCCACCAGGACAATGCGCCAGTGCACAAATCAGCTGTTGCCATGTCAGCAATCCATGACTGTGGTTTCCAACTTCTTCAGCATCCACCCTACTCTCCAGATTTAGCTCCGTCAGACTTCTGTTTCCCGCTCTGAAGAAATGTCTTTTCGCTAGGCATTTCCCGTCTGACGATGACGTCATTGCCGCTGTGGATGATTTTCTACACACCCAAGACAAAGACTTCTACAGAACTGGAATAAAGGCTCTGCAAAACCGATGGCAGAAGTGTATTACATTGAAAGACGACTATGTTGAAAAATAAATGCATTTGATTTGAATTTCTTGTTTCTTTCTGTGTTAGACTCACTACTTATCAAAATCCCCTCGTAGGGTTCGCTGGGTTGGTGTCGCAGTTTGACATATTGTGGTATATGTTAGGGTTAGCTGGGCTGCTCGACTTAATGTTAACTAGCGTTTTCTGGGCAGTTTCTAGGGTTAGGGCACTAAACTTTATTATTTTAGGACTACTAACGAGAAATGGGATTTAACGCCCCTCGACACAAACTAGTTAATTCGGGACTAACATATTAAATTTTTATTTCACTAATTTGCTTGCTCAGAGATCTTAAGCAGTGAGAGGTAAAGGGAGAACCCAGAGAAAACCCACGAAACTGGAAATGCGACCGTAACCCTTGTCACGTACAAATGGGGAATCGAAACCACACCACTTGACCCAATGAACCACTCGCCCCCACCCCTACGAAAGACTACGTTGTCCCGTGCCAGACAGAAATGGGGTTGAACGACCAATCATCACAAACTGTCCCTTCCCGACTAACATTTGACATACTTATAATTATATTTCAATAATTCGTTTGCGCATAGGTTTTTTTAAGTGGGAGGAAACCAGCTGATTCGTTGTGAAAACCCACAAAGTTAGACATTGATTGATCAAAATTGGATACAAATTACTAAGATAAGGTGAAATCAAGATAACCGTTACCATTGGGTAATTACCTGTACAAATGACTGGTGGTTTTGACCATGTGCCTGACAAACAAATAGAAATCGCACTACCAGACGGTTGATAGCCCGCCACGCATCGGTAGAATGCCCTGGACCCTTCAGCTGTCGATCTGGGTGTTAATGGTCTCTTTAAGGGATAGTATGGAGGAGGCCCACAACCAGAAACTGAAGGCAAAAAGAGAAGCAAAAATAGATTAAAAATACATTTTTTTCTAACTTTCTAGTTTTGTATGCAATAATACTCTTTATTAGTTTCGTATGTAATAATATATTTTACTACTTTCGTATGCAATAACTGTATTAGTGTCGTATGTAATATACTTTTTATTAGTTTCGTGTGTAATAATACCTTTTTTGTTAGTTTTGAATGCAATGGTACTTTTTTTTAGTTGCGTATGCACTAATACTTTTTTTTATTTCGTATTAGTTTCGTATGTAAAAATACTTTTTATTAGTTTCGTATGCAATAATACTTTTTATTGGTTTCGCGTGTAATACTACCTTTTATTAATTTCGTGTGTAATAATATCTTATTTATTTCGTGAGAAATAATATCGTGTGTAATAATACCTTTTATTAGTTTCACATGTAATAATACCTTTTATTAGTTATAATACCTTTTATTAGTTTCACATGTAATAATACCTTTTATTAGTTTCATATGCAACAATAGTACTTTTAGTTTCGTATGTAACAATAATACTTTTTATAGGTTCGTATGCAACAATAATAATTTTGGTTAGCTTTGTATATAATTATACTTTTATTAGTTTCGTATGCAACAATAATAATTTTTATTAGGTTCGTGTTCAATAATACTTTTCATTAGTTTCGTATGCAATAACCCAATCGCTCCTTGTTCAAGAAAAATTTTATATTTGTGCCTGCATGTTCATTTTATATTTGATGTAATGGATACATACGTTATGATCGATACATTGATGTATTGGATACACACTGTATGATCGCTACATTTGGTTAGGTATATTTTAATATGCTACACTTGCATGGTCCAGAGCACTAGGTACACAGATTTTTAGAAAGCTTCACATAATTAAAGAACTGGTTGCATACATTTCGAATGCTTCAAAAGGCTAAAGTACTGGTTGCATACATTTCGAATGCTTCACAAGGCTATAGTACTGGTTGCATACATTCGAATGCTTCACAAGGCTAAAGTACTAGTTCCATACATTTTGAATGATCTTACTTAGCTAAAATGCTGGTTGCCCTAAATGGATAGAGCATTTGTTGGTTCATTTCAGAATACGTCATTTTCAACCTTTTCGAATGTTTGGTTTATCTATTTATCGACTGTTTCTAAAGATTGGTGCACGGTAATATATAAAGTAGCAGATACATACCCTTTTTAATACATATAGGTCCACGTGTCCATTGACCATTGGCTGAACATATTATAACATTTAAACCCCTCATTGCATATTCTTTACCACATACAAATTGAGCACTAGACCGTAATACTGTTTTATTGTAGGTGACGTTAGCACCGGGTGGAACGTATGGTATACCACAGTCGACAGCTAAACAAAAATAAACATTAAAACTTGTTATGTTTGGAAACTGAATTCCAATTCATTGGCGAGCCTAATTCCAATTCATTGACGACCCGAATTCCAATTCATTGGCGAGCTAAATTCCAATCCATTGGCGAGCCAAATTCCAATCCATTGGCGAGCCGAATTCAAATCCAATGGTAACCCGTACTTGAAATTCATTGACGGGCCCGATTCAATCCATTCATGGCCTGAATTCCAATTCATTGGCGAGCCAATTCCAATTCATTGGCGAGCCGAATTCCCATTCATTGGCGAGCCGAATTCCCATTCATTGGCGAGCCGAATTCCAATTCATTGGCCAGCCGAATTCAAATTCATTGGCAAGCCGAATTCAAATCCAATGGCGAGCCGAATTCAAATCCAATGGCGACCTGTACATGAAATCCATTGACGAGCTGAATTCAAATCCAACGGCGAATCGAGATCAAGTCCATCACCGAGCTTAAAGGACAATATTGGTGCCAGTCATTATCACATATGTGTTAGAGCTGGTTAAACACATTCCAAATATACTTTTAACACAGAGATCATTGCTTCGATAGCTGAGTAATACAGGTTTCCCGTATCGGAAGTGACTAAAGTCAAAGGAAAACACGAGTCACCGCTCTAAATAACTGACTGAAGCGACGAGTGATAACAGATACACGGCCGAATTTCTGATCACTAATAATTCCTTCGAAGACCAAAAGTTGTTGTGTGAGACTGTGAGAGGATATCTGAATTAAAGAAGGCAGAAATGATATTACCTCACTGGCTGATGTATTAATACAAAATGGGAGATAAATCTTATGAAACAAGTCAAGTCATCATCCATCATTATCCCGACCACAACAATACATTCGCTGATCTCCCTTCGGTTTTGTCGAAGGCATTGGACGTATTGTACACTAGTTGTATCGTAATATATGAAATCAAACGGGGGTTTAACGTCCATATTTTCTGCACCGACTGGGCTAATAAAAACGGGTATACGCCATACAGTGTGATATGAGGTTAATATTAGCCGGTCAGCGCCAATATGGCCTACTCTTATATCGAATTCCAACTGTCAAGGGTTCTTTTCTGTGCACGCCAATGTGCACATGGGACCTCGATTCTTCGTTCAAGTTTTACTTGCCAGACCAATCAATGATTTTATAAAATGGAATTAATTATAAACGTCTTACGTATACACTTTGTCTGTGGGTCTGTCCAGTTCCCGGACACTACACATTCAGAGACTCCCTTTCCTACCATGTCATGGCCGATTTCACAGACATAAGTAACTTTATCGCCAAGTTTTCCAGTAGTTATGAAGGGCCGAGAATTGTGAAACCTGACCACGCTGGCGAGGCTGCAGTAATTGACGTTCTCTGAAAGAAATACAGGAAATGACGTCGGAAATAGAAATGGAAAATCTAAAGTATTTGTTTGAGTTACAGTTATTTGTATTGCGGATACATACGCAATGAACGAAAAGTTGACCGAGTTTGATCAGACAACGGTCATTTCACCTACTCTTTAACCTCCACGATTTCGTTTCCTTGCTCTATAGCGTTTTGCTCATGACTAATATATACACCCTACTGCCAAATAATAGACCAGTAGGACCTTAAACCCCATTTCATTTCATTTCATGTCAGGTACAAAGCTATGAAAGGGTATCGCTGCCAATATTAAATGCTCTGCTAAAATGTATTTTCGATTGGTTATATGTATAAAAAGGTACAATTTACAAAGCCCTAATATCGGTAATGATAAAGTCAAAATACCTCTAAGGCCAAAGTTTGCGACAGAGCACAAATTTAAAATGTAATGAGAGAAATGTAGAATGTTGACACGTGAAAAAACCAGCATTTTCCAATAAAACGTTTTTGTTATTTGGCACATTACTTTTGACGTTTTATGTTTATCTTTTGCCTTAAAGCTGAACTCCGCTTACAAAAATACCGAAATAATTAAATAAAAAAAAGTTAACGCCCAGAAGCCACCATACTTGTTTTTAATTTATGAAATAACAATAACACAACAACTAACATGGCGACCTGTGAAAATCTAATCTAAACTATCTGTTTATTGCATAGTATTAGTTATAATTACACTGGACATTGTGCTGCGATAACTTTTTTGGTGATTTACATATACATGTATGTGTAAGATATTCACAAGAAGACGTGGCAATAATAATAATAATATGAAGAAGACAATAGTGTGATTTGTTTTGGTTGAAAATTTCAGGTTGGGGTAAGGCATCTTTTTGCATCTTTTGTTTTAGAGTAAAGCTTAGGCTATATAGTAGTAGACGCAGTTCATATAATTATTTACAGGCTTACTTGATCAGACATTTTGCAATCTTCAATAATTTGGTATACTGTTGGCAAAAAATAATTGAGCAATCCGTGAAGCGTGTGTAGAGAATAAAACCGGATGTGTACAGCTGGCTGACAAGAAACAAACTGGAAGTCAGATCGGCTAACCTTTCCAGGTCATAAACCTCCATGTCCGCCATATTTATTTCATAAATTGGAAACAAGTATGGCGGCTTGGGGGCGTTAACTTTTTTATTTAATTATTTCGGTATTTTTGTAACCGGAGTTCAGCTTTAAAGGTATTTTGACCTTATTACTGGTATTAGGGCACTGTACTTTTTAAAAATAATCAACGAAGAAGACATTTTAGCAGAGCATTTAATATTGGCAGCGATACCCTTCCATAGCTTTGTACCTGACATGAAATGGGGTTTAACGTCCTACTGTTCTGCTCCTATACTGGGCTAATAAAGACGGGCATACGCCATAAAGTGTGCTATGAGGGAAATTTTGCCCGGGCAGCGGCACTATCGCCTACTCTTATATAGAATTCCAACTGCCAGGGGGTCTTTTACGTGCATTCCAATATATACACGGGACCTCGGTTTTTCGTCTCATCCGAAGGACTAGACAGCTGTCCTTGTCAGGCCCTCCGTCCTGCATCATTGACAAGAGGTAACCACCCCGGAACTTTGTACCTGACAAGAGGACACAAAGGGCATTACTCGATTAATTGTTTCTACACTGAGATTACGCCGAGACCTCCACGTTAGAGAGCAAGGGTCTTCTCACATAATCATTCAACGAAATATTCAATATTATAAAGTTGTATAATAACTGACCCTACCTTTACAGACAAGAGTGGGTGCTGCCCAGGTACCATTTAATTGACAGCTTGATCCATACACACCAGACGTTTTGAAGTATCCTGGTTTACATTTAAATATGACAGTGGCGCCATAAGTTGTAGTTGAAGCTTGTTTAGCTGTTGTACTATTCCCGGGGGCAAGAGGAGCCTTTCCGCAATCAATAACTATAACAAAATAAAGTGCGCATTTAAAGTTTTTGTCTTGAGAATAAAGTACAAATTTAAGGATTTTTCTCTAAAATAAAATACACAAAGGTTTTTTTTTTGTTTTTTTATTAAAAGAATAAAGTACAACTTTCAAGAGAATAAAGTTCGAATTTAATAGGGTGTTTTTTTTTTCTCGAGGAATAAGTACACATTATTTGGTGTTTAAACAGAATAACACATTGTTATATTACATATTATAAAGGGAGTATTTAATAAAATAGGTTATAATGTGTCGTCCTTTTCTTTACATAATTATAAACAGTGTCCCGACAGAAAGAAATAATAAATGGGGGCTACTTTTCTGCAGTAAGCAGCCTAAGGCAGAGGTGTGCTATGACAGACAATTTGGAAGGCACACTAGCGTTACCGTAACTGATTTTTAACTATGCTGCACCTAGTGGAATTTGGGGATATGCTTGCAGAACACTTACCTTCACAGATTGGTTTGGCTGTACTCCAAATAGCTCTCAAACAAAATATTTTATTGCTTCCGCCTATTTGCTTATATCCTTTTTTACATTCATATCTAGCTTCTGTCCCGTTTTTTGAGTGGTCCATAATCAGAACAGAATCAGCATGTGCTTCCGGTATTCCACACTTTGTCACTGATTTGTGAAAAAAAAAATATGGCAAAATTAAAACCAGTCGTTCAGAACATATTGAAGGAAGATGAATGGCGCTGTAGTCGGCCAATAACGTTTTTATTATCATAGAGAGATGTGCTGCATAAGCGAGGCTGTATTATGGAAGATGGTTATTAAATGTATGTTATAGCGGTTGGTGTGTATTAGATGTATGTTATAGTGGTTGGTGTTATAGCGGTTGGTGTTTATGGGATGTGTGTTATAGTGGTCGGTGTTATTAGATGTGTGTTATTGTGGTCGCTGTTTATTAGATGTATGTTATAATGGTTGGTATTTATTATATGCATCTTTTGGCGGTTGTTATTTATTAGATGTGTGTTATAGTGGTGGGTGTTTATTAGATTTATGTTATAGTGGTTGGTGTTTATTAGATGCATCTTACAGTGGTTGGTGTTTATTAGATGTGTGTTATATGGAAGACCAAACAGCTCTTTATTCAGTGTTCTTAATTCTTAAGAGAGAGAGAGAGAAATGGGGTTTAACGTCCACTCGACACAAACTAGGTCATTTCGGGACTAACATAATATGGTTTAATTATATTTCAATAATTCGCTTGCGCGTAGGGGTCTTTAGCAGTGGGAGGAAACCGGAGGACCCGGAGAAAACCCACGAAATTGGACAGGCGACCCTACTCCTTGTCACGTACAACCGGGGATTCGAAACCACGCCAGTTGACTCAATGACAGGCTTTATGATACAGCACACACGTGCTAACCATTGGGCCATCCAACCCATAGTCCTTAATTCTTAGTTCTTAAGCTATAGCCCTTAATTTTGTTTTCTTCATTAGTTATGGTATTTCGACATTTGTACACTAAAATTAAAATTAGTATCTTAAAATCAGTATTTGTTTCACAATTCAGACATTTGTCATATCAGATTTGTAAATTTTTTATGTTTAATTTAATTGCATTTTAATATAAGGATACAATTTTTTTTAGAACACCCACTCACTAAATAGAGTTCAGACGATCCAAATTATATCAACTTAAACGAGGTACGAAAATACGAATATGTCAGAAAATATTTTACAATTTTGAAAAGGTATCTGGACCTTTTTAATGTTTTACATCCCGATATCTTGTATTTCGTGTTATGGCCCGTATTTTGACGTTAAATACCCTCTCCGTCCCGCACCTTTCTTATTAATGCCATTCAAATTTTTTTTTTTTTCAATGCATGTAAATATAAATGTGCCAGAAAATAATTTACATATTGTAGCAAGCAATAAACATACTTTCCAGTAGTATATTTTTTATTAAGATCCGTATTTTATTTATCTTTTCAACAAGAGCATCGCTAACGTTGCAATATACGTCGACATTTCTGCTTTGATTGATATTGGTACTTTTTAAAATGAAGAGAATGAAATATGAAATGACCGCAATGACTATTGTGACAAGAGGCAAACAAAGCTAGGCGTTGGGTTTGTTTTGCAAAATCTATAGACTAAATATTAAAAAAGTGGGTGTTACACGGCCCCAGGGGGTCGGGGCATGCACCAAAATAAATAGTTTCTGTCTTCAGTGTATATATAGAATATATATAGATATATAGAGGTTGGACAGGCGACCCTACTCCTTATCACGTACAACCGGGGAATCGAAACCACGCCAGTTGTCTCAATGAGACCTTATGATACAGTGCCCACGCCCTAACCATTCGGCCATCCTACCCCCGATTCGACAAGATACAATATGTAATGTCACGTTGGTATTTAATTAATCTTCCAACTTACCTGTACAAACAAAAGTGGTTTGAGACCAGGTTTTGTTTCTCTGGCAGACTGCTGTTCCATTACCAGTACCATCATAACCATGTATACACGTGTAGGTTACCACGGTTTTATACAGAGTTGAGTTTGTAGATAGCATAGTATTGTTTATAACTGGTGCTTTACCACAATTAATCACTAATAAACACAAATTTGAAAATGAAATAAAATGAAATGAAAATGAAATGAAAATGAAATGAAAATGAAAATGAAATGAAAATGAAATGAAAATGGAATGAATGAAAATGAAATGAAAATGAAATGAAATGAAATGAAATGAAATTAGAAATGAAAATGAAATGAAAATGAAATGAAAATGAAATGAAAATGAAATAATGAAATAATGAAATAATGAAAATGAAATGAAAAAAAAATGAAAAAGAAAATGAAAAGAAAATGAAAAGAAAATAAAATGAAAATAAAATGAAAATAAAATGAAATGAAAATTAAATGGAGATTAACGTCCTAGTGTCAGCTCCGAAATGGGCTAATGAAGACGGGCATACGCCATACAGTGTGCTATGGGGAAAATTTTGCCTACTCTTATATCGAACTCCAACTGTTAAAGGATCTTTTACGTGTACGTCAATGTGTACACGGGACCTCGGTTTTTCGTTCCATCCGAACGACTAGACAGCTGTCCTTGTCAGGCTCTCCGTCCTGCATCACTGACAAGGGGGGCGGGAGTGTCGAACACCCGACCTCTAGGCTAGCGAACCAGCGTCTTACCCACTTGGTTAACTCTAGAGTTAATAGGATTATGCACGTGTCCAATAATTAAATTTGACAATCGACAACTACAATAATCATGACCCATAAATGAAATTGGACTTAACGTCCTAATTTCCTGCACCGGCTGAGCTACAATAATACAGTGTGTTAGGAGGGAATTGCCTGGATATCGGCACCTAGACCTACTCTTACTTCGAATTCGAACTTTCAAGGCTTCTTTTAGGCGTGAAATGTTATCTAAATTATTAATTAGACAATAATTAACTATTCCAGAGCATAATCAACTCTCGATGTCATCGCTAGCCTTCAATGTTTATTGCATTAGGTTCCGATTTGCTGTTCGACTTCCATTCATAATTTAATCATGAAACGGATAAGTGAGACTTTTTTTTATCGTACCGACTTTAATAATGATGGAGGCAGTGTGAATCGATTTGACTGAAATTTTCCGCAAATTCCCTTTACATTATCTAGTTTTTAACTATTATATTATAGTGAGATTTATCTAAGCTCCCATAATGTATCTTTAACATATGGGTACTTTTTTATTGTTTTGTAAAGCGTTGCCTACAATACTGGCAAGGTGACCTTTTTCACCCCCCCCCCCTTTACCCATTATTAATTGTAAGTTTGTACCTTCACAGGAACCTGTAGGTTTTGTCCATACTCCATTCAACTGACACTTAGCCGGTGTAAATACACCAACAGTTTCAAAATCAGCCTTACATTTATACGTTGCTACACCTTCAGCCTTATGGCTGGTGACGACCCTTAAGGAATTATGTATGACTGGCGCTGTACCACAAACAGTCTCTGTAGGAAACACAAATTTTTAAAAAATGAAGTATCCGGTGCCTTTTGGATTAAAAGCACGACAGAATACGTACAAAATATTGAAGACCAACTAGCTTTTTATTCAGCGTTCTTAATTCTTAGTTCTTAATTTATAGTGCTTAATTCGTATTTCTTCATTTTCTGTATTTCGACATTTGTATCCTAAAATTAACATTTGTATCTTAAAATCAAAGTATTTGTTTTACATATCCAACTTTTGTCATTTCATTTACAAGTAACAACGAAAAACAAATCACGAATAATAAGTTTCCAAATACAAATCTCCAAATACAAATATTGGAAAACATTTGTTAAAAATCTCCAAATACATATATTGCCAAACATATTTGTTAAAAAAACATTTCTTCGAATTCATCTAACCTGAACTTGTTAGTTTTAGTGTACAAATGTCGAAATACGATCGGTAACAGATGAAGAAATAAGAATTAAGGACTATGGAATAAGAAATAAGAATTCTGAATAAAGAGCTGCTTGGTCTTCCATAACAATAAGGCTACACCAATTTCATTTTTTATTCTTCAGAGTTTTGATGAATAAATAAATCACTCAACGCTGAAAGTCCTGATGTGCAATTTACTTCTTTCGCTTAAATATCATATTGCCCTGGGCTTAATCCACTCTTATATGTACCCAGATTGATTACTTTTAATTAAGAAAATAAAATCACAATACCAACCCTAGATAATGTAACGGATTGGATTCAATTGAATTAAAAATAAATGAAATGAAATGGGGTTTAACGTCCTACTGTTCTGCTCCTATGCTGGGCTAATGAAGACGGGCATACGCCATACAGTGTGCTATGAGGGAAATTTTGCCCGGGAAGCGGCACTATCCCCTACTCTTATATCGAATTCCAACTGCCAAGGGATCTTTTACGTGCATTCCAATGTATACACGGGACCTCGGTTTTTCGTATCATCCGAAGGACTAGACAGCTGTCCTTGTCAGGCCCCCCGTCCTGCATCACTGACAAGGGGGAACCACGCCGGAAAATCTGGATGAACTTTCTCGGCCAATGCAGGGATCGAACACCCGACCTCCAGGCTAGCGAGCCAGCGTCTTACCCACTTAGCCACGTGATCCCCTGAATTAAAAATAAAGGCCTATCAATATATTTTCGCGGATTACTAAATGGCGGAGGGCTCATTTCATAGCGAGCACTATAGATCGACGAAATTTGAATCCCGAAGAACATTAATTAAAACTGATGTGGTGTGAAACTTCAATGATCTCTTAACTATCTTCCAATCCGATTCAAATCAAATGTTTTTAATTCGTCTCTTGTGTCTTAAATTCCGCCCATTAGATGATTGCATTTCAAATTCAATTCATTAACCGTTTACAAAAAAATAGACAAAAATTGTTTTTACTTTTTTTTAAAATCAATTTTAAGGATTTCCAATAATCAGAAACCGGCAATAGAAATAAATATTGTTTACCAGTGTTTAAAGGGTACACATTTGCTGACTGTCATCTGTCGATTTGGGGAAATCATTGAATCCAGCATAATTTCAGCAATTAAACAAAATTAATATATTGTATTTAATCGGATTAAAACTATAGTTGGCGCTGACTTGTGTTGAATATATCCGGATTATCGTCTGTAGTGGATGACGAATGTTGGCGCATTTTTGGACTGATATCCTGTTTGAGAGTTTTAACTGACGATGTTGTAGTTTGTGAGGAGAGAGAGAGAGAGAGAGAGAGAGAGAGAGAGAGTTTAACATCCACTCGACACTAACTAGGTCATTTCGGGACTAACATGGTTCAACTGTATTTCAATAATCCGCCTTGGCAACAGGTTCTTTAGCAGTTGGCGGAAACCTGAGAAAACACACGCGATTGAACAGGCCACCCAACTCCATGTCACGTACAGGCGGGGAATCGAAACCACGCCACTTGACTCAATGACCGACCTAGTTTGTAAGCGATTAGGGATAACTCAATGACGATAATAGACTTTACACCACGTAACAGAATCTGAACTTATTGAATGGGTTGATCAACTTGAGAATCAATTTTCCATCCACGTTTTGTCAATACGTTTTTATTTATGGAACTATTAGATATCAATCTATCATTTGACTCCAATGTAAGACATAATTCTGTTTGACGTTGCGGGAGTCGCCAACGGTTAACCAAGGCGTTGTAATACAGCAATAATCTTACCTATACATTTGAGGGTTACTGCGGCCCATTTTGCATCCTGTAAACACGTGATCTCGGCCTTTGTACCGTTAACTTGATGAAAACCATCCGGACATTTGTAAACAGCTGTAGCGCCATAATGCGTTTTATTGAACGACTTTAATACAGTGATTCCTATTTTGGCTTCAGGCTGACCACAGTTTACACCTAGTGAAAAAAATATATTTATTATACGTGGTTTTTGGGTTTTTTTTTTTTTAAATGAAATGAAATTTTATGGCACGTCAGCTCCAACCGGGCTATATGGTGCCAAACACATGGTGACTTTGACATGACAAATTAAATCAATATCACATAAATATATTTATATACATAAATAAAAACATCACAGACAATGTTGTTTTTTGGTTTTTTTTTTTTTAAATGAAATGAAATTTTATGGCACGTCAGCTCCAACCGGGCTATATGGTGCCAAACACATGGTGACTTTGACATGACAAATTAAATCAATATCACATAAATATATTTATATACATAAATAAAAACATCACAGACAATGTTGTTTTTTTTTTTTTTTTTTAAATGAAATGAAATTTTATGGCACGTCAGCTCCAACCGGGCTATATGGTGCCAAACACATGGTGACTTTGGCGAGACAAATTAAATCAATATCACATAAATATATTTATATACATAAATAAAAACAAGTATCACAGACAATGTTGTTAAAAATAAATATAAGTTCTTTATGTATACAAATAATTAAAAACAAAAATACGGATATATATATATACAATTAAAATTTGTAATAAAAGTTTGTCTCTTTTAAAAAGTTTAACAATTTTCCATACAGCTCCGGTTGAGCAAATAATTGATGTAGTGACTGGCAACGGTAATAGTTTGATCTTACATTCTGGAGATGATTGCACTTAATCAAAATGTGCTTAATTGTCAAAGGAACATGACAGTGAACACATTCTGGTTGAGGCTCTCGCTTCAAAATGAAAATGTGAGTTAAAAAAGTATGACCAATACGAGAGCGACACAAAACAACTTCATCCCTCCTGTTGGTTCTATACACTGTAAAAAAATATCCATTTTTTATGTGGCCGAATTCTGTAATTTAACACTTTTTTTCTGTTAATTGATGGATTTTTTTGAGAAATTGTGTTAATAGTGTGAATTATTTCTTCAAATTACGTGTTTTATGTATTTCTGTGGAATATTCAGTATTAAACAGGAAATTTCCGTGAAATTTAGGGATAAAATGTTTTATTCGCTTGTATAATGGACTTAATTCTGTTAGTTTACGGAATAAACGGTAGAATGACAAGGAAGTTCCGTGAAATTTAGGGATAAAATGTTTTATTGCGTTCTGTAATGGACTTAATTCTGTTATTTTACGGGATAAACTGTGCAACGATAAGTAATTGTATACATAAATAATGGTTCCTAATAATCATCATGTTATAGTATTCATTTCAATTTATTAACCATAATATGAAGAATCATATTTTGTAACGTTTGGTATATTAATTGACATGTATATCTAATTTCCATTATTTATAAGATCTATAAAGTGTATTGTTATTCATCATACAGTAATCAGATTGTAAGTATTTTCATAAATATGTAAAATATGTTTTAATGCTGCGTGTGTTAAGGTTGTGATATCTGGTAATCAAGCACGCTTAAGTCCGGATAGTACAACCGGTTGGCCAGTGTAAGTCGGTTTGTCTCTACGGCAGAGTCTACATACCTGCGAATTGGTAATACCGCAAACTTACATCTGAAAGCCTCCAACCACTTAAGAGTAGCGGTTTGTGATACCTTGCTCCCAATTCTTATATTAGCGAAAAGAGGTTACGTTTAAAGATTATCTGCGATATCACTTCGGTAGAAGCAGACATTAAATATAGCTATTTCACGCACGCGTATGAAGTCAATGGTTAATTCAATGAAATTTTTATCATCTTCATGGTCAGGAAACAAAATTAACCAGGATTTTTTTTTCTGTATTTGAAAATGGAATTTATGTTAATTGAGGGAATTTCTGTAAATTACAGGAGAAACAAATACGGATAAAATTTTCCTGGTAATTTTTGTTTCCGGAATTTTTTACGTTTTTTCACGGAGATTTTTGTTACAGTGTAGGAGTTTGGCCAGTCTCCTATGAAAGGTTTAATGTGATGAAGTTTATTTGTGTCTGCAAGATCCAAAGACCATTGCCAGCGGTCACACTTTCTTGATTAAACCACAAAAGGCAATTTGTTGCATCTCTTAAAAATTAATCGTCATGATATACCTGTAGTGACCTATCTGTGTTGCGGGGTTCTCAAGTCCATAATACCGTTGACGTACGGATCGACGGACCGATCACGTGGCGCCATAATACGTCCAATACTGAAATGTCGGGGATATTAAAAATATGATACCAATAACATTGTCAACGTAATAAAACTGGATAATATTTACCTTTACAAAACAGGGATGGTTTCGTCCACTTTCCATCGGCACCGCATGTAATGTGTCCATTACCAATTTTGGTATAACCTGCATTACATTTATAATTACCACTCGAAAGGTAAACTGTCTTATTTACGACTGCAGCTGCATTTTCTAATACAAACTTTGGTTGACCACAATCCATTACTAAAATAAAACAGAAACGGATTCTGAAAAGACACTTCAATTCTGGATATTGAATACTTCATACCTGTTAACTGTGTTTCTGTACTCTTTTATAAGCTCCTGCTTACGTAAGGACCTTAACTAATAGCTTACTAGTTACAGTGAGGCACCAGCGAAGTGCACGTCCTCAATATTTTGATTTTAAAAAATTGCAAGAAATTCAACGATTATAGAACTTTCTTGATGACTTGTCTATAGTCTTGTACAGTCACGTGTCATCGTCAGTTTGGAGTGACAAGCTTTATTCGTATTAATGATTTTTGTTGTAGTAAATCGGGAAAACAAAGCCACTAAAGTGATACAATGCATTTATATACGTCATAAGAATATAATATTACGTAGTTAAACATGGTGTCCTTAATGTGTTTGATATCTGCCTTGTCCGATAAAGTTCATCTGGATTTTCCGGCTTGGTTTCGCCTTGGCAGTGATGTAGGACGAGGGGGGGGGGGGGGGTTGGCAAGGGACAACGTAAGTCGTTTGGATGGGACAAAAAACTGAGGCCCCATGTACACATTGGCGTGCACGTAAAAGAACCTTTGATAGTTGGAATTCGAAATAAGACTAGGCCACAGTTCGGACAAAATTTCCCTCATGACACGCTGCATGGCGTATATGCCCATCTTCATTATCCCAGTAGGGGCAGAACACTAGGACATTAAAACACATTTCCATTAGGATTTCATTCATTTCTTTTTGAAGCAATGGCACATAAATGCTGGGGCCTTACAGAAGTGTAAACAGCATCGGTAATTACTGAATCTATGACATGTATATGCTCCCTGCCAGCTTGACATGTGAAAGTAATTTGAATATCAAATCCACCTGCCGACCCCTGTAGATCTTGGTAGAATTTCGTATGTCATTTAGTAACTTTAACTTGTTGATGGCATGTCTTATCTTACTTCTTTGTCTGATAAACTATACTGAACGTTAACTGATATGAAACATGATACATAAAAACCAGATGCCTATTGAGATTCCTTTGTGTGTAGAAAGGTTTAAAACCCCAGAATGAAACGGCATAGAGACAGAAGTCCAGGCAGGACATGAGAGCAGTCGGAGGCGGGGCGACGTCTGGTAGTTAACTCCAGGCCACGCAGGTTTGGAGTTAAGGCCATGTAATGTAAGAGTTGGGAGTTGGCACATTCGTGCCTAGCCGAGCTAAGACATGGCTCTATCAACACAAGTTAATTACGGAGTCTTAATTTTTTACATAATATGTTAGAAGAAGCAGAGAATAAAAGTATTATTATATGTTAAACTAGTCTTGTCATCTGAACCTGATTAAAGAACAAATACTGTCACAGAGAGAGAGAGAGAGGGAGAGGCAGATAGTGAGAGAGACAGAAAAACAAGAGAGAGACAGCTGTTAGGTCGCTTCGGGATTCACCTACTTTTTTATTTCCAGTGCCCCCTTCCCATCCCGACGCGAGGCAGGCGCACTTACCGGGTACAAACCAATTATAAATTATATAATGAATAAAACATTGTAACTTACTAGTGCAGATTAATTTGTTGGATGACCACTTGCCATCAGGACCACAGCTGATAAAATCTATACCGCTCTGTATATAACCTACATTACATTTGTAAGTTGCTGTATATCTATAAGTTGTACGTAGATACGAGAATGTGGAGTGAGGCATCTTGTCAGGTTTCCCGCAATCCAAAGCTAAAACATTAACAAAATTAGGGAGAGATAGAGAGAGAAATGGGGTTTAACGTCTACTCGACACAAACTAGGTCAGACGATTGATAAACGCCATTGGCACCTGGAACCACACTCAGAAAAGCCTGGCGCAATCCATCGGCTGTGTTTGGTCTCGGTACGACGTTATTAAGTCTCCTCTGAATTTCATTCCAAAGATGTTCAATCGGGTTTAAGTCCGGACTATGGGCTCAGGTAAAGTTGGAGATGTGGTCACAAATATACGTCCACTACACACCAAATAGGTCATTTTGGGACTAACATATGGTTTAATTTAATTTCATCCCAAAGATGTTCAATCGGGTTTAAGTCCGGACTATGGGCTGGCCAGTGCATAACGTTAACACCGTTCTGCTGTAGAAATTCCCGAGTAACTCTGGCGGTGTAGGCTCGGGCGTTGTCATGCTGGAAAACGTTTTTTCGATGACGTGCGAAATGTTGTATGACGTGGGGTCTGAGAGGTTGATCGATGTAGGGCAGCGCTGTGATGCCGCCTCCTCTCCCTGGACCAAGATTTTGGAACATCATAGGACCCACTCTCTTGTGCTTGGACCTCCCCATGAGTCTCGGTCCATGACACCTTGGCAGAATAACGCTGGCCACGTCGACGCCATTTTCTGGTCATGCCACCTGCAGTTGATACACATTACCGACTCTCATCTGTCAACAGAACAGTTCTCCATTCCCCGTGTCGCCAGTTCTGGTGTTGTTGTTCAAACTGTAGACGTTCACGTCGATGGCGTGGGGTGAGGATAGGTCCACGGTAAGGTCTATATACGGCAATGGATGTTCTCTCTGGTGAGACGTCGGTGAATTGTATCGGTACTGATGGGTCTTCCGTTGTGTTCCCACTGTTTGATGTGCTGTCTCAGATGCCTGTGCGAAGGGATTCTGCACGTGCTGGCGCGCAACATGGCGGTCTTGTCGCCTTGTGGTAACCCTTGGTCTACCAGTTCGGGGGCGATCAACCGCGGCGTTGGTGGCCCGAAAGAGTTGCTGAAGCCTGTAGATGGTCCGAACATTGACCTGGAAGTGATTGGCAACGGCTTGGGCAGTGTGGCCTGCAGCGTCGAGTCTTCCATTCGCCTGGTTCCTCTGAGCTGTCGTGAGTCATGGCATGCTGCTGACATTGTAGTGTGAATGATTCAACCAGGTATGGGGATCCATTTTATAGGGCTGGTCCCGGTGAACAGCACACGCAGCATGAGTTAAATGAAAATCACTGAGAACACATTACCATCTCAGAAGTCAGGCTGCGTTTTTGAGAACATTTCCTGGGTTCAATTCTGTGTTTGGGAAGGAGCCTTATTGCTCAGGTAAAGTTGGAGATGTGGTCACAAATATACGTCCACTCGACACCAAATAGGTCATTTTGGGACTAACATATGGTTTAATTTTATTTTAATAATAAGCAGTGTGAGAAACCCCCAGGAGGTTGGATAGACGACCAGGGTCGCGTACAAGCGGAGAATCGAAACCACGCCTCTTGACTCAATGACAGACCTTATGATCCAAACTTACGTTTACAACGAAAAGCTGGTTGCGTCCAATTACTTTTAATACATCTGCTTGTAAATCCATCTCCAAATCTAGAGAATCCTGCTGAGCATGTGTAGGTAGCAAGACTGCCCTTTATTGACAGGCTAGAATAAGGAATTAGGAACTGTGGCTTCCCCTCACATGACACTGAAATGTAAAAAATACTATGCATTTTGCCAAATCTGCCTATTTCAGGTGGTGATTTGTGTTCAAATGGTATATAAATTATTAATTAGGCATTTATTCAAATCTAGACCATTCGAAGGTATCAAACATCCGCACCATAATTTAACGATAATCGACACTGTATTAGCATAGCAATGGCACGGGGGAATATTACGCTATATCTTGTCAAAACTTCAAGCGGTGTTAATTTCGCTCCGAATAATAAAAGTTCGGCTGAAATGTTCAATGAATTTTTGAATTAATTGCAAGAATGACCGCATAATGCATCTTTAAATTCAGTTAACAGTGTTAACTAAGTTTATAAGAGAGAGAGAGAGAGAGAGAGAGAGTTTAACGTCCACTCGACACAAACACTAGGTTATTTTTATTTCAATAATTCGCTTGTGCGTAGGGGTCTTTAGCAGTGGGAGGAAACCGGAGGACCCGGAGAAAACCCACGAGATTCGACAGGCGACCCTACTCCTTGTCACGTACAACCAGGGAATCGAAACCCCGCCAGTTGACTCAATGACAGACCGTATGATACCATTCGGCCCCCCCCCCAACTAAGTTTATAGGAAACAATGCTAGTTTAATCGTAAATATTTGAATAAGGCTATCAAAATAATCAATATATGAATAATTTCTCGGTCTATGAGACAATAATTGCCCTTGCGGCCATTCAAATATCTACAGTTGCCCGCCCTTATGGAAGAAGAAAAGTTGACTAAGCACTGACAAAGCAACACACTCGGAAATTGGAGGTGAAGGGCAAAAACACAGTTTCCATAAAACATGTTTTTTTTTACATGAGTAATTCGTTTGCACTCGGGGGAACCGGAGTATGGGAAGAAAATTCACGACCCAACAGTACAAGTCATGAATTGAGAACACCAGATGTGATTCACCTGCAGACTTTCCACTCTCATTCGCACGCAATAGACACCTTTGTCCTATCTTTTTCAAAGAAAAGGGAGAAATACTGCACAATCCAATCGGTTATAATTAAATACTCACGGGTACAAACTAGAGATGACGTGGACCATTTGTTCGTGTCTAAACATGTTATTGAACCGTTTCCTGATTTCGGTTTAAACCCTATACTACATGCATACACACCGGTACCATTCACAGTTACAGAATTTACTGTTAAATCTGTATATGTTATTGGCGGGGGGATTCCACATATTGATGCTAGGAAATAAAACAAAGTTTATACAAATATTCATAATAATAATAATAATATTTAGCTCTCACACACTGTTTAATAAAGCAGTCAAAAAGACGATTCTTTAGTTGCTTCTGAAAGAACCCAAGAGATTGTGAATTCTTTAGGGTCAACGATAATGAATTTCATAGGCTTGGTGCAGTGTATGAGAATCATCTATGACCGAAATATTTTAGTCTATAGTTGGGTGTCATTTGTATAGCAGTGTTATAGAAGGTTGTGTTTCTTTAGAATAATGGTGACAATGACAGTACACAGCACAAATAACACTGGTCCAAGTACAGAGTCGGGGTTACTCCTTCCACTAACATGACTGGATCCGATAAAGTGTTTTGTATCTGTACAGATTATGAATGCCCAATAATGAATGTCTGAAACTGATTTAAAACATTATCTGATATTCCAAGTACATGTCCATATAATCTTTCGTTACCCTAAAGTGTGATACATAAGAACAGGAATCGGCAAACGCCCTTCCTCGTGTAATATACACGAACCTGGTTTTATTTGGGGCTAAAGGTTACCACTTCATTGTGTCAGATTTATAAACTCCAATATGACGATGTATCAGATTTATAGACTCCTCAAATATGATGAGGTATTAGAGTTATAAACTACTCCAATATGACTAGGTATCAGATTTATAAACTCATCAAATATGATGAGGTATTATTGTTATAAACTTCTCCAATATGACTATCATATTTTATAAACTCCAATATTACGAGGTATCAGATGTGCCATCGTATGCAATGCGCACAGCAGATGTTTTTTTTGTTTTTCTTTGATGAAATACAGAAACTTCTCACACACTTGTTCAATAACCTAATCTTGTTTTATTGAAATTTATATTTTAGTATCAGGAGTAGACTTAAGCAATAATAAATGTCAAATGCTAAAAAACTAAAAATGTACAAGACTAAATCTAAAAGTGCTGAATTCAGATTTTGAAATAACTACACTTACCTTTACAAGTGAGAGTCTGTAAAGACCATTTTGCATTTGCCTGACAAACTGTAGTTCCATTCCCAGTACTAACATACCCGTGATGACATTGATATGAAACAATGGATTTATAAACTGTTGATGTATATGTTGGTTTAGAATTGCCAACAACTGGTATTTTACCACAATCCACAACTGAAACAAATATGGTTAATTACGCAATGTGAACATACATCGAGTAATATTAATATATTATACGATTTTATAGAGCGCTTACTATTAAAGACTACTTCAACTAGACGTTGGTACATTTTGATAGATAAAAAAAAAATATCAATAATCACAGACAACTTTCAGATTTAAAAAGTTTTTATTTTTTTTTTAAAAGTCATCACAAGCAATATAGCTTGCAAATTCCAGTTATTAACAATTATAAAAATTGACAGAGATTCGATTCCGTAACATTTTATTGCGGTGTGAGCAAAAGATCTGACTATAGGAAAAATTGGGTTTTATCAGACCAGTAAATCGTTTGGGACCTGTAAGTTATAGCTGGGATGTAACGTTGGAGTAGAGCTTGAAGGTAGGGTGTTAAGTCTTCAGAATAGAGGGCTAGGTATATTGAAGTTGATATGTGTAGGTTTTTTTAAAAGGGCAATATTGATGTCAGCCGTTATCACATGTGACCGATCTGGTTTAAGACATTTCAAATATACGCTTAACCCAGATCATTGCTAGGAGAGATGCGTAACGAAGATTTCAAGAAGCGGATATGACGAAAACAAGAGGAAAACAGAGTTATCTTTATATACAACTAACTGAAGTAACCAGCGATATGAGGTGCATGGTCGAATTTCTGCTCACTGATAATCCGGTCTTAGGGTCCAGGGGATACCATTTATAAAAGGAGATTCCACGTTAAGTACAATAGTTGATTCCAAGTAAGACCCAGTTTTAATAAGGGTTAGATACAGACTAAAACTTACGTTTACAGCTAAATATAGTTGTTGACCAGCGTTTTGTTGATAAACAAGTTATTGTTTTACTTCCAGTATTTATTGTATAGCCAGTATCACATGTGTATGTTGCTGTACCGTTGATCGATACAGATTTAACTTTAACAGCTGCATTTTGTATTTTAGCTGGTAGCCCACAAGCAGAGGCTGGAACACAATTATAATATTTTTTTAATACAATGTTGTTTCAGTCTTAAAGATAAATTACCACGAAAGTATTTATCGGATGGTTATTTCCAATAAAAGTATGGCAATGGTGGCATAAATGTAAGGTAGAGACGCCCAATCTTACTAGAAAAATACTGGACTCCCTGCGAAACACGCACTGCGGGGGGGGGGGGGATTTAAACCTTATTTTGAATTCCGCAAAGTTGGAGGCGTCATTTTGAACACAAATGATTGTCTATTGCATGTATATGGGGTTTGACGTTTTACTTTTCTGCATCGACTAGGCTGGTGAAGGACGGGAAGTGTGTAGTAGAATACTTCAGTCTTCTATGAGGGCCATTTTGCCCGGACAACGACGATTCGACCTACTCTTAGTTCGGGTTTCAACTGTCAAGGGTTCTTTAACGTGCACGCCAATGTGTACCCAGGACCCCCTTTGTACAGGTCACCCAATCACTAGACATTGTCATTGTCAGGTCATCCGTCTTGCACCAATGACAAGCGTAAATGACACCGGAAAATTCCGAGGAACGTCCGGGATCGAACCAGAAACCTCGTGGTTAGTGAGCTACCGCGGATCCCAATTATCTTTTGCAGTAGGAATATTTTTATACTCACCTGTACATGATATCGTTGGTTTTGTCCAGTTTCCTGTAGACCCACAGAAAATTCTACCAGAACCCGTAGATATATAGCCATACTTACAGCTATATGTAGCAATGGAACCATATGTTGTCTCACCTATGTCTAACTCAGTATTTGGAAGTATGAAGTTAGGAATATAGCAAATGTGCACTGAAATAAATTACAAATAAAAAGTTGTGCTCAGAAATTAGACTTTTCAACTTTTAAGCTTAATTGTAGGCCACACGCACGCGTCGTATTGTATCCGACAAATACTTGTTAATTAAGAACTATTACCAACTGGTGAAAACCACATTGAATACAAAAAAAAGTTTCCTTTTATCTCAAATATTTGTCTACGACGTCACTTCCTGTTGACATTTTAAAAGTTTTCGATATTCATTGAATGAAATACCTTACATATGCTATCAAGTTTAACGACCTACTGTTCTGTCCCGACTGGGCTAATGAAGAAGGGCATACGCCGTACAGTGTGCTAGGAGTGACATTTTGCCAGCACAACGAGACTATACTATTATGACGAATTCCAACTATCAAGAGATCTTTTCCGTGCACGCCAATGTGTACACGGCACCTCGGTTTTTCGTGCCATTCGAACGACTAGACATCTGTCCTTGCAACACTGCGAGATCCAACACGCGACCTCCAGGCTAGTTTCCGCCTCAAAATCATGAATATTCGCCAAAACCTGGCAGAAAATGTATTTTCAAACCTTTTTTTCGATTCTACACCAAAAAGTCAACAAAAATCGCCATGCAAAAGGAGGAAACAGGGAAAGGGAGAGAGACTAAAAATAGCTTTGGCCCTTGTTTCGTGGGTGACGGCCCAGGAATATTTGGTGATCTGTGTCCATTAAGGTGGGGGTTTGGGGTGTCCTCATGAGTGGAATGATCTCCCCTTATCTTGATCTGGCACTGAATTGAGCCTTAGATATAACGATAGCCTAGACTTACCAGTACAAGTAATGGTTGGCTTTGACCACAGTCCATCAGCACCACATGTGGACGCATCAGAGCCGACTTTCTTATAACCAGTATCACATTGATATACAGCATGTGACCCGTAGGTTGTGGACAGATAACTCGCATGTGAATCAGGTATATTTAAATTAGGTTTCTTACAATCTTTCACTGAAAAACAAAATTCATTTTAAAACCCAATGGCATTTAGGGCGTGAAATACCACACCCACAACCAGAAACCCGGCAGATTTACATTCTGATGATACCAGATATACATACATTGATACCATATAGGAGAAAATTGGTACACTTTTCAGCTAGGTTGACCACCTGGGCTCCTGGTCTATATAGTTGAAAACTGGTTTACATTATCTTAAAATCTATGGTGACCCGAGAGCTTATTGTACATAAATGAAATGTCAGTCTCTAGGTCCTGCGCCACTGACAAGGGAAAATCCCGATGAACTCTCTCGATTAATGCATGGAGCCAGCGTCTTACCCACTTAGCCACCATGGTTTCCATAGTGAACAGAAGTTTAACTACACAACGGAAAAAACACACCAGGTTGGACAGAGTTTAACGTCCACTCGATACAGATTAGGTCATTTCGGAACTAACATATGGCTTAATTTAACTTCAATAACTCACTTACTTGTAGAGGTCATTAGCACCGAAAGTCCAAGGGGTTAGACAGACAATCCAACACCTTATCACGTCCTACTGTTCTGCTCTGACTGAGCTAATGAAGATGGGCATGCGCCATACAGTGTGCTGTGAGGACAATTTTGCCCCGACAGCTGTTTTGCTATGGCCTACTCGTATATCAAATCCCAACTGCCAAGGGATCTTTCACGTGCATGCCATTGCGTATACGGGACCTTGATTTTTGGTGCCATCCGAACGACTAGACAGCCCTCCATCTTATATTACAGGTTTTGAAGCAATAAATGGTTATAAAAGTCTAAACCAATAAGATGTAAGGTTAAGTACAAATAAAGAGTATTACAACAATAAAATCAATAGTTACTTACGATTGCACATGATAAGAGAACTGTTTGTCCATTGTTTTGTTGATAAACAAGTTATCGTACCATTTCCAGAGCGGAATTCATATCCAATATTACATATATATAATGCCACAGCATTTATTCCAGTAGAATTTATTGATAATTCTGCATTTGATTTAATTGGTGGTAACCCACATACAGATTCTATACAAATTAAAATACACAAGAATAACACAACTGGACCTGATTTAACGTATTAAAGATGCATTATGCCGGGCGAAAGATAACCAGCTGACAGTTTCGCTATAATAGTTTAAACATAGGTAATGAAAAAGGGATATATTGAAAATGTTAGTCAAATTACTTTCTTTTGTGTGAAAATTACGAAAATGGGAAGTTTTGTTCAGAATGCAGTCTCGACCTTCATTGCTACCGATGCTAAGATGATAAAGTCTCGATTATCCATGATGTATATGATGCAAACTTGATTCACACAGGAAGCACGAATAGGTTGCTAGAAGGAAACCTATTCCAGTTATGTTCCGGCAAGATAATACTAAATTCCCATCTTGTCTTATAAGAAGCAGGGTCTATCAAATAAAACTAGACGGTTGTATAGCATCGTTTCGTTTACGTCATTAAGACTATCTCTAACGTATGATATAACACACAGGTGATGTCCATATTGTCAATAACACGAGGCAACCATCCAGTAGGTAATTAAACACAACCAATACATGTATATTTAGTGGTCAGTATTATATTATCAAAAATATGTGTGGGGTACAGTGCATGTAATATGGGATTAAGGGAGCTAAATGGCGATTCTTTGGCAAATAGAAATGGACACAAATGGGTCGCAACGAATATAATAATGTAATATGAATGTATATAAACTGATTTACATTCAATCGTTTCTGTTTGTACTGTAATTCCTTATAAGTTCGACGAAATAGGCGAAGAGTCTAAATTGATTGGCAGTTTTGGCGTCTGGTTATTCCAATCTACAGTGGTAGTATTATCTTGTGTAGTATGTCTTAAATCATGGATATCAGAAGCCCATCTTTTCAAGGTAAGATGTTGATTTAAATCGACTGGATGATATTGACTTGCCTTCTTTAAGTTTTATAAAAGTTATGGATCACTTCGTCACGCATGCAACTTTATTTTCGGGGCATGGATTAAAGCCATTGGTTAAAATATAACAGGATTAAACAGAACTGTACGGGATTATGTAAAACTATAATAAAATATGGCTTTGTCTGTGATTACACTTAATACTGGAACATGAAACTTGTATTTAGATGTACACATTAGATATGTAGGCTATGATTTAGCACAGCAGTGTAGATGAGGTCTCGGTTACCCGGATCCTCCAGAACATTTCGCCAAGTCAAGTAAGAGTTGCACCCCTCCACGAAATAAATCCCATAATTCATGCATTATTTAGGAATAATAAAAGATACATTAGTTAAGATTTAGATAAAGAGCTGACCATTCTTACTATAATATTTCGAAAATAGACAATGCAAACTGAAAATATTGAAAATTTCATTTAAATAACTTTATTCTGAACCAAGTTATCACTGTAGTTTTTAAAATATGTGTGCATTGTGGTAACCAGAGCACAGGTATATTCGAAACTTAGCCTCGCTTTCCCATTTTTAAATTAAATTTTTAAATGGCGAACCGTACTAATCTAGTTAAAATCTAGATTATGGTGGATTATGGTCTTGTTTTGTTAATTAATGTCTAATTAATAGTTTATATAACATTTCAGCACTAAAAAAAGATCTGTAATTAGCTTTTGCATAATGTATGTTTAAAATTCATAGATATGATCCATGAAGAGATAAATGTTATTATAAAAAAATCAAGAATTTGGGATTTTGAACAAGCAATGCAAATAGATTTTCTCAAACGGCAATCCTTATATTAATTTAATGGGCGTCAACATCTTTGTTTTAGGGCGAGTTACTACCCTTAGATTTTGTTAGTTTTAATGTAAAAGACCGGATAATCTAGTCAATGACCTATTATTCTCAAATGTTGACAACCCGTCTAGACTAATATTCGTAGAATGTTTGTCTTAATGATAGAGACTATGAGGACAAGTCAACCAATACACTGAAAGGAGAATAAGTATTATGTTTAATACTCTTACCTTTACAAGTCATTGTAGGTAAAGACCATTTTCCATTTGCTTGACAAACTGCATTAGTAATACCCCCACTCGCTACATAACGCGGTAAACATCTATATTTAACTGTTGATTTATAAATTGTTGTTGTATATGTTGGTTTAGAATTACCAACAACTGGTATTTTACCACAATCCGCAGCTATAAGAAAAACAAACGGTTAATATTTGTGTTAAACAATAATTGTATTCAAATAATTATTGGCACACCCACCTAGACGCATATTACGTAAAATGAAGAGGACTATTCCATTAACTAGAAGTCAGACACTGACCTTCAAAAAAGGGAAATGACTACTGTTATTGCTACTCTATTCTGCAAGAAATGAAATGAGATTTAGCGTCGTACTGTTATGTCTCGATTGCGCTAATGAAGACGTCATACGACATACCTAGAGCTACGAGGAAAATTTTGCCCCAGCAACTCTACTATCTCATATTTATGTGCAACTGCCAAGGGATCTTTTAGTTGCACGCTAATGTGTACACGGGATCTCGGGTGTTCTTCCTATCCGAACTACTATACATTATCCCTTGCCAGGCCCCCCACATTGTACCAATGAAAAGAGGCAATCGGTCGGCCTGAAAAGAGGCAACCGGTCGGCCAGCGCAATGATCGTAATCCTGAAATCTAGATTAGCGAGCCGACGTCTTACTCACTGAGCCACCACGTCTCTCTATTCTACAAAACCATTCGCTACAAACTAGTCTATCGCGTTCACAAGGTTTTCGGAAAAGTGTCAGATTGTTTATTTCTTTGACGGTTGCAACCAGGGCCCTGTTTCACGAAATTTTAACTAAAGATAAAATCAAAATTTTAGTAGATTCTTCAATTTTGATTGGCTAAGCACTAAAATCAATCTAATATTATCCAATCAAATTACTATAATTTGGATTTTATCTTTGTTAAAATTTTGTGAAACAGGCCCCTGGAGAGTGTCACAGCCAGTGACATAAATAAAACATAAATCGGGGATTAGAATGACTAATCTACACTGTCAATTGGTCTAGCTAGTGCCCGATTTACATATATGCTACGCAATCTGAAACCTGTGGACTTTAGTCTTAATCAGTCATCTGTCACCATCCCCAGCAGCTTCGCACAGTTGTGATAAATACACAATTTTGTATTGCTCTGGTCGTTAAGGTGGGGATTTGGGGGGGGGGGGGGTCCTCATGAGTGGAATGATCTCCCCTCATCTAGATCTGACACTGAATTGAGGCTTAGAAATAACGATAGCCTAGACTTACCAGTACAAGTAATGGTTGGCTTTGACCACCGTCCATCAGCACCACACGTGGACGCATCAGAGCCGGCTTTGTTATAACCAGTATTACATTGATATATAGCACGTGACCCGTAGGTTGTGGACAGATAACTCACATTGGAATTACGTATATTGAAATTAGGTTTCTTACAGTCTTTCACTGAAAAACAAAATTCATTTTAAAACTCAATATTCCAGGAGCCAATAATAATTGTCTTTACTGAATTAGATTTTAAACAAAAATGAAATGGTATTAAAAGTTCTACCGGTTCAATGAAGTTGGACATAAGTCATGAAGTATGATACTCTTCATGGATTCCAACTATCTATTAGGCGTATATATGTAACCTCGCTTTTTCGCTAGGTCTGAACTCTTAGCTAATGATCTCTGCCAGATCCCCCGCCCAGCACCTCTGGCAAACATGTATCAAGTCTTAAATATTTCGGAAATAAAACTATGGTTGAAAACTGGTTTACGGTATCTTAAAATCTATGGAGACCTGAGAGCTTATTGTGCATAGATGAAATGTAATTGAAATGTCAGGCTCTCCGTCCTGCACCCCTAACAAGGGAAAATCCTGATGAACTCTCTCGGCTAATGCAAGGAGCTAGCGTCTTACCCACTTAGCCACCCTGGTTTCTATAGTGAACAAATTATTATGAGAGATTCACATTATTTCAATGATGCACTTTGGCGTATGGGTCCATAGCAACCTGAGAAAACCCACCAGGTTGGACAGAGTTTAACGTCCACTCAATACAGATAAGGTCATTTCGGGACTAACATATGGTTCAATTTAACTTCAATAACTCACTTGCTTGTAGAGGTCTTTAATAGAGAAAGCCCAACCCAACCCCTTGTCACGTAGAAGGTTTGCAGGGAAAGACAGGAGAAGAGGAATTGCCTTCATTAAAATCCAATATGATCGCCAATATCGTATCGTTCTAACATTTCTTACATAACATGAAATGGGGTTTAACGTCCTACTGTTCTGCTGTGACTGGGCTAATGAAGATGGACATGCGCCATATAGTGTGCTGTGAGGAAAAAAATTTGCCCGGACAGCTGTGCTGCTACGGAATACTCGTATATCGAATCCCAACTGCCACGGGATCTTTCACGTGCATGCCAATGTGTACACGGGACCTTGATATTTGGTCCCATCCGAACGACTAGACAGCCCTCCACCTTACATTACAGGTTTTGAAGCGATAAATGATTGATTATAAAAGACCAAAAACAATAAGATCTAAGGTTAAGTACAAATAAGGAGTATTGCAACAATAAAATCAATAGTTACTTACGATTGCAGATGATAAGAGAACTGTTTGTCCATTGTTTTGTCGATAAACAAGTTATCGTACCATTTCCAGAGCGGAATTCATATCCAATATTACATATATATAATGCCACGGCATTTATTCCAGTAGAATTTATTGATAATTCTGCATTTGATTTAATTGGTGGTAATCCACATACAGATTCTATACAAATTAAAATACACCAAGAATAACACAACTGGAGCTGATTTAACGTATTAAAGATACATTATGCCAGGTGTAGATAACCAGCTGACAGTTTCGCTATAATAGTTTAAACATAGGTAATGAAAAAGGATATATTAAAAATGTTAGTCAAATTACTTTCTTTTGTCTGAAAATTACGAATATTGGAAGTTTTGATCAGAATGCAGTCTCGACCTTCATTGCTACCAATGCTACGATGATAAAGTCTCGATCATCCATGATATATATGTTGCAAATTTTATTCACGCCAGAAAACAGGAACAGGTTGCTCAAAGGAAACCTATTCCAGTTATGTTCCAGCAAGATGGGAATTTGATATTATCTAATAAGGAGCAGGGTCTATAAAATAAAACTAGATGGTTGTATGGCATCGTTATATATGGCGTCTCACGCTATGACACGCACCTGTTTCGTTTACGTCATACGTCTCTAACGTATGATATAACACACAGGTAATGTCCATATTGTCAATAACACGGGACAGCCATCCAGTAAGTAATTAAACACAACCAATACATGTATATTTAGTTGTCAGTATTATATTATCAAAAATATGTGTAGGGTACAGTGCATGTAATATGGGATTAATGGAGCTAAATGGATACTCTTTGGCACCTAGAAATGGACACAAATATATAATAATGTAATATGAATGAATATAAACTGATTTACATTCAATCATTTCTGTTTGTACTGTAATTCCTAATCAGTTTGGCGAAATACGCGAAAACACTAAATTGATTGACAGGTTTTGGCGTCTGATTATTCCAATCACTATAAATGACTTTGAAAGGATTCTGGAACGCGATTCGTGTGCCAATTTTAAAATGTTCATTTATCTTAAATCTTGGATTTCAGGGTAAGATAACATCAATGTTGATTTAAATTGACCAATCAGTCCTGTTTGCAATGTCGTAGACTGTGGATGATATTGACTTGCCTTTTTTAACTTTGATAAAAGTTATGACTCACTTTGTCACGCATGCAACTTTATTTTCGGGATATGGATTAAAGTCATTGGTTAAAATATAATACGATTAAACAGAACTGTACGTGATTATGTAAAACGATGATAAAATATGGTTCTGTTTGTAATTACACTTATACTTGATGTACGCTTTAGATACGGAGGCTGTGGTTTAGTACCGCAGTGTAGATATAGTCTCGGTTACCCAGAACCTCCTGGTCTTCAAAGTACGGAGGGTTTGGATCGGTTGTCAACATTTGACGAAGTGTTCCATTGCCCATGTGTAACTGTAAGTTTGATATTTTTAATGTGGTTGATTATCCAGAACATTTCGCTAAATCAAGTAAGAGTTGCATCCCTTCTCGAAATAAATCCCACAATTCATGCATTATTATAAACAAACATGAATCGTGACTATGAATAAGGATTAATTAAAATTCATACTTTAAAAAAGAATGAAGAATTTGGGATATTGAACAAATAATGCAAATAGATTTTCTGAAATGGCAATACTTATATAAATTTAATGAGCGTCAATATCTTTGTTTTTAGAGCTAGTTACCTCCCTTAGACTTTATTCGCTTTAATGTAAAAGACCGGATAATCTAGTCAATAACCTATTATTCTCAAATGTTGACAACTCATCTAGACTAATATTCATATAATATTTGTCTGAATGATAGAGACTATGTATATGTGAACAAGTCAACCGATACACTGAAAGGAGAATAAGCAATATGTTTTAATACTCTTACCTTTACATGTCATCGTAGGTAAAGACCATTTTCCATTTGCTTGACAAACTGCATTAGTAATGCCCCCACTCGCTACATAACGCGGTAAACATCTATATTTAACTGTTGATTTATAAATTGTTGTTGTATATGTTGGTTTAGAATTACCAACAACTGGTATTTTACCACAATCCACAACTATAAGAAAAACAAACGGTTAATATTTTAAAATTTGTGTTAAACAATAATTGTATTCAAATAATTATTGGCACACCCACCTAGACGCATATTACGCGAAATGAAGGAGAGAGAGAGAGAAATGGGGTTTAACGTCCACTCGACACAAACTAGGTCATTTCGGGACTAACACATGGTACAATTTTATTTCAATAATTCGCTTGCGCATATGGGTATTTAGCAGTGGGAGGAAACCGGAGAACCCAGAGAAACCCACGAGGTTGGACAGGCGACCCTACTCCTTGAAATGAAGAGGACTATTCCATTAACCAGAAGTCAGACGCAGACCTTCAAAAAAGGGAAATAACTACTGTTACTACTACTTTATTCTGCAAGAAATGAAATGAGATCAGATTTAGCGTCCTAGTGTTATACACCGACTGGGCTAATGAAGACGGCATACGCCATACATAGAGCTGCGAGGGAAATATACTCTTATATTTTAGTGCAACTGCCAAAGGATCTTTTAGGTGAACACTAATGTTTACACGGGATCTTGGATGTTCTTCCTATCCGACCTTCTATACATTATCCCTTGCCAGGCCCTCCATCTTGCACCAATGAAAAGAGGGAACCGGTCGGCCACCACAATGATCGTAAACCTGAAATGTAGATTAGCAGGCCGACGTTTTACTGGGCCAAAGTGTCTCTCTATCCTACAAAACCATTCGCTACAAACTACAGTCTATCGCATTCACAAGCTTTTCGGAAAATGGGGCATAACTCTAGTGGATAAGTGTCACATTGTTTTTTTTTTCTTTGACGGTCGCAACCAGGATAGTGTAACAGCCAGTGACATAAATAAAACGTAAATCGAGGAGCAGAATAAATAATCTACACGGTCAATTGATCCAGCTAGTGCGTGATTTACATATATGCTTGGCAATCTGAAGCCTATGGATTTTATTAACGCACTATAGTCTGTCACTAGCTCCAGCAGCTTCGCGCAGTTGTGTTACATACACACTTTTATATTGCTCTGGTCGTTAAGGTGGGTGTTTGGGGTGTCCTCATGAGTGGAATGATCTCCCCTCATCTTGATCCGGCACTGAATTGAGCGTAGAAATAAACATAGCCTAGACTTACCAGTGCAAGTGATTGTTGGCAATGACCACCGTCCATCAGCACCACATGTAGACGCATCAGAACCGGCTTTGTTATAACCAGTATTACATTGATATATAGCACGCGACCCGTAGGTTGTGGACAGATAACTCACATTGGAATTAGCTATATTTAAATTAGGTTTCTTACAATCTTTCACTGAAAAACAAAATTCATTTTAAAACTCAATATTCCAGGAGCCAATAATAATTGTCCTTACTGAATTAGATTTAAAACAAAAATGAAATGGTGTTAAAAGTTCTACCGGGCTAATGAAGTCGGACTTAATTCATGAAGTGCGATACTCTTCATGGATTCCAACTATCTATTAGGTTTACGTAGCCGTATATACGTAACCTCGCTTTTTCGCTAGATCTGAACGCTTAGCTAATGATCTCGGCCAGATTCCCCGTCCAACACCTATGGCAAACATGTATCAAGGAAGTCTTAAATATTTCAGAGATAAAACTATGGTTGAAAACTGGTTTACAATATGTTAAAATCTATGGTGACCTGAGAGCTTATTGTGCATAAATGAAATGTAATTGGAATGTCAGGCTCTCCGTCCTGCCCCACTGACGAGGGAAAATCCCGATGAACTCTCTCGGTTAATGCAAGGAGCCAGCGTCTTACCCACTTAGTCGCCCTTGTTTCTATAGTGAACAAAAGTTTAACATTAAAATGTAGGTAGCTCGTAATGGTAGGTAGCTCGTAATGTAAATTAATATGAGAGATTCACATTATTTCAATGATGCACTTGGGCGTATGGGTCCATAGCAATCAGAGAAAACCCACCAGGTTGGACAGAAATGAAATGGGGTTTAACGTCTTACTGTTCTGCTCCTAAACTGGGCTAATGAAGACGGGCATACGCCATACATTGTGCTATGAGGGAATTCCAACTGCCAAGGGATCTTTTACGTGCACGTCAATGTGTACACAGGACCTCGGTTTTTCGTCCCATTCGAACAATATGCATCACTGACAAGGGGAAACCACGCCGGAAAATCTGGAAGAACTTTCTCGGCCAATGCAGAGATCGAACACCCGACCTCCATTCTAGCGAACCAGCGTCTTACCCACATAGCCACCGTGATCCCCCCAGGTTGGACAGAGTTTAACGTCCACTCAATACAGATTAGGTCATTTCAGGACTAACATAATGGTTCAATTTAACTTGAATAACTCACTTGCTTGTAGAGGTCTTTAATAGAGAATGCCCAACCCAACCCCGTGTCACTAGAAGGATTGCAGGGGAAGAGGTATTGCTTTCATTAAAACCAATATGCTCTGCGACAATGTCTTTTCCATTGATTATATGTAAAAAGTACAATGTACAAAGTCCTAATACCAGTAATGATAAAGTCAAAATACCTCTAAGGCAAGAGTTAAATGTAAAACGTCAAATGTTAAGTGTTAAATGACAAATGTTTTGTGGGAAAATTCCTTTTTTGACGTGTTTATATTTCTCTCATTACATTTGCTCTCTGCCACATCCCTTCACACATTCTACATAGCATGTTTCGCATAGCATCAACTTTCATATGCAAATGTAGGATATCACGTGACTTATTAACATATACGAAAACCTGGCACACTATAAGCCAGAACAAAGATAACAGGAAATCAGCCTAGCACACAATAACAATTTACTTACCTTGACACTTTGGATGGTACTTTACCATGATTCCAGGCATCATGTTACATATTAGTGAAAAGCAGGTTCATTTCTGTTTGTAAATATGTAAATAGTTTTCTGGTACAATCGTATTCTCATAATTCAAATCCAATAAATATCACACTATTAAAGGGGTATTCAAGTAAAAATACTGGTCTAAATACGAAATTCCAGATACCTTGTTACGTATCACTGATTGCTCTTTTCAAATATGCAAATAATTTTCTGGCACATTCATATTTGCTTAACTTTACAAAATAAGATTAAAGGAAGGGGGGGGGGGGGCTAAACTAAACTAAACTAAAGTTACGGGGCTTAATCAAAAATTCTCTATGTCCATACTAAAAGATGTATAGTCATTCCTCTCTTTAAATATATTATTTATTTGTTGGGCACAATGCTTATAGATGTATATATATATTTTTTAATGGATCAAAGTTAATTAGGCTGTACTTAACTATGTTTATAGAGAGGCCGGAAAGAGTGGGGTGTATAAAATATCAAAATACGGGTATTAATACGAAATTCCAGTTATTGTGTTATAAATTACTGGAAGGTATGTTTCTTTGGCTGTTTGAATCTATGAATTATTTCCTGGCACATTCATGATTACGCACGGTCGTCTAGATAGTTTCTTATGGTGTGTTTTAGCTTGATTTACTGTTATCGTGCGGTGAATATCCTTATAGTGTGCTGGTTTATAGTGTGCCGGGTTTCCGTATATGTTAATGAGTCACGTGATATCCTACATTTGCATATGGAAGTTGATGCTGTGCGAAAGTTGCTATATAGAAAGCGTGATGGACAAATGGGATGTGGCAGAGCGCAAATGTAAAATGTAATGAGAGAAATATAAAATGTAGACACGTCAAAAAAAGCATTTTCCAACAAAACATTTGTCATTAAACACTTAACATTTGACGTTTTACATTTACCTCTTGCCTTAGAGGTATTTTGACTTGATCATTATCGGTATTAGGACTTTGTACATTGTACTTTTTACATATAATCAATGAAAACGACATTGTCGCAGAGCATTTAATATTGGCAGTGATACCCTTCCATAATATGATCGCCAATATCGTATCGTTCTTACATTTCTTACATAACATGAAGTGGGGTTTAACGTCCTACTGTTCTGCTCTGACTGGGCTAATGAAGACGGGCATGCGCCATACAGTGTGCTGTGAGAAAAATTTTGCCCGGACAGCTGTGCTGTTACGGCCTACTCGTATATCGAATCCCAACTGCCAAGGGATCTTTCACGTGCATACCAATGTGTACACGGGACCTTGATTTTTGGTCCCATCCGAATGACTAGACAACCCTCCATCTTATATTACAGGTTTTGCAGTAATAAATGATTGATTATAAAAGACCAAAACAATAAGATGTAAGGTTAAGTAAAAATAAAGAGTATTACAACAATAAAATCAATAGTTACTTACGATTGCAGATGATAAGAGAACTGTTTGTCCATTGTTTTGTTGATAAACAAGTTATCGTACCATTTCCAGAGCGGAATTCATATCCAATATTACATACATATAATGCCACAGCATTTATTCCAGTAGAATTTATTGATAATTCTGCATTTGATTTAATTGGTGGTAACCCACATACAGATTCTATACAAATTAAAATACACCAAGAATAACACAACTGAACCTGATTTAACGTATTAAAGATGCATTATGCCAGGTGTAGATAACCAGCTGACAGTTTCGCTATAATAGTTTAAACATAGGTAATGAAGAAGGGATATATTGAAAATCACTTTCTTTTGTGTAAAGATTACGAATATTGGAAGTTTTGATCAGAATAAAGCAGTCTCGATTTTGATCAGAATAAAGTAGTCTCGATTTTGATCAGAATAAAGTAGTCTCGATGATCAAGTCTCGATTATCCATGATATATATATGATGCAAACTTTATTCATGCCAGGAAACACGAACAGGTTGCCTGAAGGAAACCTATTCCAGTTATGTTCCAGCAAGATGGGAATTTGATATTATCTAATAAGGAGCAGGGTCTATAAAATAAAACTAGATGGTTGTATGGCATCGTTATATATGGCGTCTCACGCTATGAGACGTACCTGTTTCGTTTACGTCATTAAGACTATCTCAAGCGTATAATATAACACACAGGTAATGTCCATATTGTCAATAACACGGGGCAGCCATCCAGTAGGTAATTAAACACAACCAATACATGTATATTTAGCGGTCAGTAATATATTAATAAAAATATGTGTGGGTTACAGTGCGGGATTAAGGGAGCTAAATGGATATTCTTTGGCACCTAGAAATGGACACAAATGGGTCGCAACGTATATAATAATGTAATATGAATGTATATAAACTGATTTACATTCAATCGTTTCTGTTTGTACTGTAATTCCTAATCATGTTCGGCGAAATACGCGAAGAATCCAAATTGATTGGCAGTTTTTGGCGTCAATGTTTCCAATCTACACAGGTAGTATTATCCTGTGGGGTATGTTTAGCCTCGTTGATCGAGTCGATTCACTACAAATGAGGCTTGAAAGCATTCTGGCACGCGATCCGAGTGCCAATTTTAAAATTTTCATTTTGTCTTAAATATTGGATATCAGAAGCCCCCTTTTCTCGGTAAGATGTTGATTTAAATTGACCAATAAGTCGTGTTTGCAATGTCGTAGACTGTGGATGATATTGACTTGCTTTCTTTAAGTTTGATAAAAGTTATGAGTCACTTTTTGTCAGGCATGCAACTTTATTTTCCGCACATGGATTAAAGCCATTGGTTAAAATATAACACGATTAAACAGAACTGTACGGGATAATGTAAAACGATAATAAAATACGGCTCTGTGATTACACTTAATACTGGAAAATGAAACTTGTATTTAGATGTACACATTAGATATGGGGGCTATGGTTTAGCACAGCAGTGTAGATCTAGTCTCGGTTACCCGGAACCTCCTGGTCTTCAAAGTACGGAGGGTTTGGATCGGTTGTCAACATTTGACGAAGTGTTCCCATGCCTATGTGAATCTGAAAGTTTGGTTTTTAATGTGATTGATTATCAAGAATATTTCTCTAAGTCAAGTAAGAGTTGCATCCCTTCCCGAAATAAATCTAACAATTCATACATTATTATAAACAAACATGAATCGAGACGACGAATTAAGATTAATTAAAATTCATACTTTAAAAAAAATCAAGAATTTGGGATATTGAACAAACAATGCAAATAGATTTTCTGAAATGGCAATCCTTATATTAATTTATAGGCGTCAACATCTGTTTTAAGGCTAGTTACCTCCCTTAGGATTTGTTCGTATTAATATAAAAGACCGGATAATCTACTCAATGACCTATTATTCTCAAATGATGACAACCCATCTAGACGATTATTCGTAGAATATTTGTCTGAATGATAGAAATGATATGAAATGGAGTTTAACGTCCTACTATATGGACAAGTCAACCAATACACTGAAGGAAGAATAAGTATAATGTTTAATACACTTACCTTTACAAGTCATTGTAGGTAAAGACCATTTACCATTTGCTTGACAAACTGCATTAGTAATACCCCCACTCGCTACATAACGCGGTAAACATCTATATTTAACTGTTGATTTATAAATTGTTGTTGTATATGTTGGTTTAGAATTACCAACAACCGGTATTTTACCACAATCCACAACTATAAGAAAAACAAACGGTTAATATTTTAATATTTGTGTTAAACAATAATTGTATTCCAATAATTATTGGCACACCCACCTAGACGCATATTACATGAAATGAACACGACTATTTCATTAACCAGAAGTCAGACGCTGACCTTCAAAAAACGCTACAATCTACTCTTATATTTATGTACAACTGCCAAGGGATCTCGGGTGTTCTTCCTATCCAAACTACTATACCTTATCTCTTGCCAGGCCCTCCATCTTGCCCCAATGAAAAGAGGGAACCGTTCGGCCAACACAATGATCATAAACCTGAAATCTAGATTAGCGAGTCTACGTCTTACTCACTGAGCCACCGTGTCCCTCTATTCTACAAAACCATTCGTTACAAACTAGTCTATCGCGTTCACAAGATATTCGTAAAAGGGGGCATAACTCTAGTGGATAAGTGTCACATTGTTTTTTTCTTTGACCGTTGCAACCACGATAGTGTCACAGCCAGTAACATAAATAAAACGTAAATCGAGGAGCAGAATTAATAATCTACACGGTCAATTGATCTAGCTAGTGCCTGATTGACATAGTATATGCTTGGCTATCTGATTCCCATGGATTTTATTAACGCACTATAGTCTTAAACAGGCATCTGTCACCATCTCTTCGCAAAGCTGTGTTAAATACACACTTTTATATTGCTCTGGTCGTTAAGGTGGGGGTTTGGGGTGTCCTCATGAGTGGAATGATCTCCCCTCATCTAGATCCGGCCCTAAATTCAGCCTTAGAAATAACGGTAGCCTAAACATACCAGTACAAGTAATGGTTGGCTTTGACCACAGTCCATCAGCACCACATGTAGACGCATCAGAGCCGGCTTTCTTATAACCAATATTACATTGATATATAGCACGTGACCCGTAGGTTGTGGACAGATAACTAACATTGGAATTAGTTATATTGAAATTAGGTTTCTTACAATCTTTCACTGAAAAACAAAATTCATTTTCAAACTCAATATTCCAGGAGCCAATAATAATTGTCCTTACGGAAGTAGATTTAAAACAAAAATGAAATGGTATTATAAGTTCTACCGGGCTAATGAAGTCGGACATAAGTCATGAAGTGTGATACTCTTCATGAATTCCAACTATTATGTGTACGTAGAGCCGTATATACGTAACCTCGCTTTTTCGCTAGGTCTGAACCCTTAGCTAATGATCTCGGCCAGATCCCCCGTCAAGCACCTCTGGCAAACATGTATCAAGGACGTCTTAATTATTTCGGAAATAAAACTATGGTTAAAAACTGATTTACGATATCTTAAAATCTGTGGTGACCCGAGAGCTTATTGTGCATAAATGAAATGTAATGAAATATCAGGCTCTCCGCCCTGCACCACTGACAAGGGAAAAACCACGACGTAAAATCCCGATGAACTCCCAGTTAATGCAAGGAGCCAGCGTCTTATCCACTTAGTCACCGTGGTTTCTATAGTGAACAAAAAATTTTAAAATTAAAATGTAGGGAACCCATATGGAAATTAATACGAGATTCACATTATTTCAATAATTCACTTTGGCGTATGGGTCCATAGCAACCGGAGGAAACACACTAGGTTGGACAGAGTTTAACGTCCACTCGATACAGATTAGGTCATTTCGGGACTAACATAGTTCAATTTAACTTCAATAACTAACTTACCTGTAGAGGTCTTTAGCACAGAAATCCCAAGTGGTTGGACAGACAACCCAACCCCGTGCCACGCAGAAGGATTGCAGGGGAAGAGGTATTGCTTTCATTAAAATCCAATATGATCGCCAATATCGTATCGTTCTAAGATTTCTTAAATAACATGTAATGGGGTTTAACGTCCTACTGTTCTGCTCTGACAGGTCTAATGAAGCTGGGCATGCGCCATACAGTGTACTGTGAGGACAATGTGGCCCGAACAGCTGTGCTGCTATAGCCTACTCGTATATCGAATCCCAACTGCCAATGGATCTTTTACGTGCATGCCAATGTGTACACGGGACATTGATTTTTGGTCCCATCCGAACGACTAAACATCCCTCCATCTTATATTACAGGTTTTGCAGTGATAAATGATTGATTATAAAAGACCAAAACAATAAGATGTAAGGTTAAGTACAAATAAGGAGTATTACAACAATAAAATCAATAGTTACTTACGATTGCAGATGATAAGAGAACTGTTTGTCCATTGTTTTGTTGATAAACAAGTTATCGTACCATTTCCAGAGCGGAATTCATATCCAATATTACATACATATAATGCCACAGCATTTATTCCAGTAGAATTTATTGATAATTCTGCATTTGATTTAATTGGTGGTAACCCACATACAGATTCTATACAAATTAAAGAATAACACAACTGGACCTGATTTAACTTATTAAAGATGCATTATGTCAGGTGTAGATAACCAGCTGACAGTTTCGCTATAATAGTTTAAACATAGGTAATGAAGAAGGGATATATTGAAAATGTTAGTCAAATTACTTTCTTTTGTGTGAAGATTACGAATGTTGGAAGTTTTGATCAGAATAAAAAAGTCTCGATTATCCATGATATATATGATGCAAACTTTATTCACGCCAGGAAACCTATTCCAGTTATGTTCCAGCAAGATGGGAATTTGATATTATCTAATAAGGAGCAGGGTCAATGGTGCAAACTTTATTCACACCAGGAAACACTAACAGGTTGCTGAAAGGAAACCTATTCCAGTTATATTCCAGCAAGATGGGAACTAGACGGTTGTATGGCATCGTTATATATGACACGTACCTGTTTCGTTTACGTCATTAAGACTATCTCTAACGTATGATATAACACACAGGTAATGTCCATATTGTCAATAACACGGGGCAGCCATCCAGTAGATAATTAAACACAACCATTACATGTATATTTAGCGTTCAGTATTATATTATCAACCAGCGGCTGCCAGGCAGGATACGCCCACATTTTGCAAGAGATGGATAGAGAACAAGCTAAAAAAAACATGACTGTTTTGTTCAATCAGGGGCAATAATCCAGAAAGTTGTGGCCTGGAATGTGCAAATATCAAAAGGGACAGAGATCTTTGGAATATAAAGATTATGTTTTAAGTTTCATCAAAATCGGATAAAAATTGTGACATCTAGGGGGTCCACAACCTTCATATTACAAACTTCTACACAATTTGCGTACAAAGAACGGTCATTTTGTCGGGCAGTTGTCATTTCGATTTTCCCGAAATACGAATTCAACCTTCATTATGGTGGAATGGTGATGTATTTAAACGGTTTTTAAAATCTAGAGAATCCCCAAGCTAAAAATGCGATTTTACGAACAATCAGGGGCCATAATCCAAGAAGTTAAGTTCGGGTATCAGCGATTATCAAAAGGAACCAAGATCTTAGTGTGTAATAATGCTCTTACCTTTACAAGCCATTGTAGGTAAAGACCATTTACCATTTGCTTGACAAACTGCATTAGTAATACCCCCACTCGCTACATAACGCGGTAAACATCTATATTTAACTGTTGATTTATAAATTGTTGTTGTATATGTTGGTTTAGAATTACCAACAACTGGTATTTTACCACAATCCACAACTATAAGAAAACAAACGGTTAACATTTTAATATTTGTGTTAAACATAATTGTATTCAAATAATTATTGGCACACCAACCTAGACGCATATTACGTGAAATGACGAGGACTTTTCACCAGAAGTCAGACGCAAACCTTCAATAAAGGGAAATAACTACTATTACTCCTACTATTCTGCAACAAATGAAATGAGATCAGATTTAGCGTCGTACTGTTAAGCTCCGATTTGGCTAATTATGACGGCATGCGCAATACATAGAGCTACGAGGGAAATTTTGGCCCAGCAATGATACAATCTACTCTTAAATTTATGTGCAACTGCCAAGGGATCTTTTAGGCGCACACTAATGTGTACTCGGGATCTCGGGTGTTCTTCCTATCCAAAACTATTATACCTTATCCCTTGCCAGGCTCTCCATCTTGCCCCAATGAAAAGAGGGAACCGGTCGGCCAACGCAGGAATCGTATACCTGAAATCTAGATTAGCGAGCCGACGTCTTACTGAGCCACCGTGTCTCGCTACAAACTACAGTCTATCGCGTTCACAAGGTTTTCATAAAAGGGGTCATAACTAGTGGATAAGTCACATTGTTTTTTTTTCTTTGACGGTCGCAACCAGGGCCCGGTTCCTAGAAAATTCTTAAAGTAAGCACAAAGTCATGCTTCACTCTTTCTTACGTAAGAAACTTATAAAAATACCGTCCCTAGACAATTCTCAAGGCCATTCTTACGAAAGCACAAGTCAAGTATAAGTCTAAGCACATTGTGACTGGTAAAGTTTACCATAAACTGAGACTACGATGCTCTTTAATGTCATAAAAACATTTTTGGTATGCGAATTACGTCTTAAATTTGTCGTCTGCTTCATTGACGTCATATATATATATATAAATGGTTCATTTCGATGCATTTGACATGTCCCCTATTCACATATAAAATGTGCCACAAGATTAAAAAAGCAGACACATACAAATTAACTGAATAATTGTGAGAGCTCCAGGGCCCGGTTCCTAGAAAATTCTTAAAGTAAGCACAAAGTGATGCTTCACTTTTTCTTACGTAAGAAACTTATAAAAATACCGTCCCTAGAAAATTCTCAAGGCCATTCTTACGAAAGCACAAGTCAAGTATAAATCTAAGCACATTGTGACTGGTAAAGTTTACCATAAACTGAGATACGATGCTCTTTAATGTCATAAAAACATTTTTGGTATGCGAATTACGTCTTAAATTTGTCGTCTGCTTCATTGACGTCATATATATATATATATAAATGGTTCATTTCGATGCATTTGACATGTCCCCTATTCACATATAAAATGTGCCACAAGAATTAACGATAACCTAGACGTACCAGTACAAGTAAGTGTTGGCTTTGACCACCGTCCATCAGCACCACATGTAGACGCATCAGAGCCGACTTTGTTATAACCAGTATTACATTGATATGTAGCACGTGACCCGTAGGTTGTGGACAGATAACTCACATTGGTATTAGCTATATTTAAATTAGGTTTCTTACAATCTTTCACTGAAAAACAAAATTCATTTTAAAACTCAATATTCCAGGAGCCAAAAATAAATGTCTTTACTGAATTAGATTTAAAACAAAAATGAAATGGTATTAAAAGTTCTACCGGGCTAATGTAGTCGGTGATACTCTTCGTGGGTGGATTCCAACTATCTATTAGGTGTGTAACACTATCTTAGTGATAACAGAGATCATTTTAGTAAATATATGATTTATTTACATCAGGTATATAAAACAGCTACAGTTACAACAACAATACGGGAACTATAGAGGAACACATAACTATATTAAGTCCATCATTCTGCCCCTCTGCCAAAATTGTAGGGTGACCCACCATAAATATCTCCATATATCTCGACAATTTCGCCACAATATTTATATATATGCCAAGCCTTAAATCAGTTTCACATAATTATAGTCACTAAATAAACGATCATGTTGTACTTAATAAGCTATGACCATTAATCATCTATAAATAATAGACTGAAAACTGGTTCCATGTGTCGTCCATAACATCCAGACACTTTTGAGTAAAAGATAGGTTACGTGCCCTTGTTTTGAAATTAGTCTCGCTTAACCAGTCTATCGACCATTCTAGGGCTGATTGACAGGTCGGGATAATCAAGACTACTTTTTTACGAAACATAACAGAAAGCTAGAACAAAAAATTGAATTTAAAAATGAGCACGTTAGCTAGCTCAACAATTGTTTTAAGAAGCTTGTAAAAGTAAAATGAAACTACTGCTAGTATCATGTTCCTGTCTAACCCGAGTGTTTCAGAGATATTATTTGTACTAAACCAAAAGATGCCGCTCTTAACGGTACAGTTAATGATAAAGCGATTTAAAAAATGAAACGAACGTAATTTCTAAATCTGCTGTAATAACCAAGAAGCTTAATTTTACTGCTATTCAAAATCGTCAACAATAAATTTTTTACGGCTGTAATAGTTGATAGATTTGTAGAGAATTGCACGTGCCATGACTATTTATAGTATCATACTGTCAGAAAGTTGGCCTCGACACGGCGAATGTGCACGCTTCAGTGGTAGTCTCGAACTATCAGCGGTTGACTGTATTTCTGTAGGTGCATGGGTCACCCTAGCAGTGGCTGAACTCGGGTGAGTTCATACGCCTGTCTCTCCGTCTCCGCTCGTTTTAGTCGTCTGCGTAACTGTTAGTAAACTCCTGATTATATACCGCCGGAGAATAGATGAGACACATGGTCATACATGCAATTGTCTTTTATCTCGTCATGACATGCTTACTGACATGTGCTTATTCCTTTGAAGTCATGTGGAGCTTGAACACAGACCATATGGGATTAATTACATGTTTAATTAGATCATAGCCAGTCCGTGTCTTAACAGAAGTTTATACAGAGTTGAAAGGTTACTATCATATATTATCAAAAACCAGCAGAGGTCATAAAGTTCTAAGCACCTAAATGAACGTTCAATTTGATGAAAGTTATAGAGTACTTTGTCACAAACGTAACCTCGCTTTTTGGCTAGATCTGAATGCTTAGTCAGTGATCTGGGCCAGATTCCTCGTCCAGCACCTCTGGCCAACATGTATCAAGTCTTAAACATTTCGGAAATAAAACTATGGTTGAAAACTGGTTTACAATATCTTAAAATCTATAGTGACCCGAGAGCTTATTGTGCATAAATGAAATGTCAGGCTCCCGTCCTGCACCACTGACAAGGGAAAACCACGACGGAAAATGCAAGGAGCCAGCGTCGTACCCACTTAGCCACCGTGGTTCCTATAGTGAATAAAAGTTTAACATTAAAATGTAGGGAGCTCGTATGTAAATTAATATGAGATGGTCATATTATTTCAATAATGCACTTGAGCGTATGGGTCCATGGCAACCGGAGAAAACCCACCAGGCTGGACAGAGGACATAACGCCGTGTATACGTACTAGTGGATAATCGAAAGAACGTTATTTCAATATGAATGAGAGAGAGAGAGAGAGAGAGAGATAAAGAGGAGTGAGAGGGGAGTGAGAGAAAGAGTTTAACGTTGACTCGATACAGATTAGGTCATTTCGGGACTAACATGGTTCAATTTAACTTCAATAACTCACTTGCTTGTAGAGGTATTTAGCACAGAAAGCACAAGCGGCTGGGCAAACAACCCAACTCCTGTTCACGTAGCAGGATTGCAGGGAAAGAGGTATTGCTTTCATTAAAATCCAATATGGTCGCTAATATCGTATCGTTCTAAGATGTCTTACCTAACATGTAATGGGGTTTAAAGGACACTATTGGTGCGAGTCATTATAACATATGTGATAGAACTCGTTAAACACGTTCCAGATACAATTTTAACACAGAGATGGGGTTTAACGTCCTACTGTTCGGTTCTCACTGGGCTAATGAAGATGGGCATGCGTGATACAGTGTGCTTTGAGGAAAATTTTGCCCGGTCAGCTGTGCTGCTACGGCCTACTCGTATATCGAATACCAACTGCCAAGGGAACTTTTACGTGCATGCCAATGTGTACACGGGACCTTGATTTTTGTCCCATCCGAACGACTAGACAGCCCTCAATCTTACATTACAGGTTTTGCAGTAATAAATGATTGATTATAAAAGAACAAAACAATAAGATGTAAGGTTAAGTACAAATAAAGAGTATTACAACAATAAAATCAATAGTTACTTACGATTGCAGATAAGAGAACTGTTTGTCCATTGTTTTGTTGATAAACAAGTTATCGTACCATTTCCAGAGCGGAATTCAAATCCATTACTACATACATATAATGCCACAGCATTTATTCCAGTAGAATTTATTGATAATTCTGTATTTAATTTAATTGGTGGTAGCCCACATACAGATTCTATACAAATTAAAATACACCAAGAATAACAGAACTGAACCTGATTTAACGTATTAAAGATGCATTATGTCAGGTGTAGATAACCAGCTGACAGTTTCGCTATAATAGTTTAAACATAAGTAATGAGGAAGGGATATATTGAAAATGTTAGTCAAATTACTTTCTTTTGTGTGAAGATTACGAATATTGGAAGTTTTGATCAGAATAAAGCAGTCTCAATTTTGATCAGAATAAAGTAGTCTCGATGATCAAGTCTCGATTATCCATGATATATATGATGCAAACTTTATTCACGCCAGGAAACACGAACAGGTTGCTGGAAGGAAACCTATTCCAGTTATGTTCCAGCAAGATGGGAATTTGATATTATCTAATAAGGAGCAGGGTCTATAAAATAAAACTAGATGGTTGTATGGCATCGTTATATATGGCGTCTCACGCTATGAGACGTACCTGTTTCGTTTACGTCATTAAGACTATCTCAAGCGTATAATATAACACACAGGTAATGTCCATATTGTCAATAACACGGGGCAGCCATCCAGTAGGTAATTAAACACAACCAATACATGTATATTTAGTGGTCAGTATTATATTATCAAAAATATGTGTTGAGTACAGTGCATGTAATATGGGATTAAGGGCGCTAAATGTCTATTCTTTGACACCTAGAAATGGACACAAATGGGTCGCAACGCATATAATAATGTAATATGAATGTATATAAACTGATTACATTCAATCGTTTCTGTTTGTACTGTAATTTCTAATCAGTTTGGTGAAATACGCGAAGAATCCGGATTGGCAGGTTTTGGCGTCTGGTTATTCCAATCACTATAAATGACCCTTGAAAGCATTCTGGTACGCGATTCGTGTGGCAATATTAAAAGTTTTATTTTATCTTAAATATTTGATATCAGAAGCCCATCTTTTCACGGTAAAATGGTGATTTAAATTGACCAATAAGTCGTGTTTGCAATGTCGTAGACTGGATGATATTGACTTGCCTTCTTTAAGTTTGATAAAAGTTATGAGTCACTTTGTTACGCATGCAACTTTATTTTCGGGACATGGATTAAAGCCATTGGTAAAAATATAACAGTATTAAACATAACTGTACGTAATTATGTAAAACGATAATAAAATAGTATTATTCCATTGCCCATGTGTAACTGCAAGTTTGATTTTTAATGTGGTTGATTATCCAGAACATTTCGCTAAGTCAAGTAAAAGTTGCATCCCTTCGCGAAATACGATAATTCATGCATTATCGTGACGACGAATTAGGATTAATTAAAATTCATAATATAAAAAAAATCAAGAAATGGGATATTGAACAAACAATGCAAATAGATTTTCTGAAATGGCAATCCTTATATTAATTTAATGGGCGTCAATATCTTTGTTTTAGGGCTAGTAACCACCGTTAGACCGTGTTCGTTTTAATGTAAAAGACCGGATAATCTAGTCAACGACCTATTATTTGTCTGAATGATAGAGACTATGAAAATGAAATGGGGTTTAACGTCCTACTGTTCTGCTCCTAAACTGGGCTAATGAAGACGGGCATGCGCCATACAGTGTGCTATGAGGGAAATTTTGCCCGGGCAGCGGCACTACGGCCTACTCTTTTATCGAATTCCAACAGCCAAGGGATCTTTTACGTGTACACGGGACCTCAGTTTTTCGTCCCATCCGACCGACTAGACAGCTGTCCTTCTCAGGCCCTCCGTCCTGCATCACTGACAAGGGGAAACCACGCTGGAAAATCTAAATGAACTTTCTCGGCCAAGGCAGTGATCGAACACCCGACCTCCAGTCTAGCGAGCCAGCGTCTTACCCACTTAGCCACGTGATCCCCAGAGAATATATGGACAAGTCAACCGATACACGGAAAGGAAAATAAGTAATATGTTTTAATACCCTTACCTTTACAAGTTATTGTAGGTAAAGACCATTTTCCATTTGCTTGACAAACTGCATTAGTAATACCCCCACTCGCTACATAACGCGGTAAACATCTATATGTAACTGTTGATTTATAAATTGTTGTTGTATATGTTGGTTTAGAATTACCAACAACTGGTATTTTACCACAATCCACAACTATAAGAAAAACAAACGGTTAATAGTTTAATATTTGTGTTAAACAATAATTACATTTTTGGCACACCACCTAGACGTGAAATGAAGAGGACTATTCCATTCACCAAAGGTCAGACGCTGACCTTCAAAAAAGGGTAATAACTACTGTTACTACTACTCTATTCTGCAAGAAATGAAATGAAATCAGATTTAGCGTCCTACGTATATTTATTTTATATTTAATGTCATAGTAGTTGTCTTTTAAGTAGGGCTAACGTTGGTGATAGATGGTATTCCAGTGCCACAGTTTCGTACTGCAATATCAGAATATGATACATTGCATAGTATCAAATATTCAGTAGAAGCAAGCATTTATTAGTACACGACTTCTCCACTCATGGTTTTCTAAATGAAATTAGGGTAACTAATCCGGAAAGATTTCGGTAAAAATAAATTATTGCATTAGGTTATCCGATATATCTATTGTATCGGAGAATACAATAATATTTTTCATTTTTGGCGAAATGAAATCGGTTTGAACGGCCTACTGTTCTGTGTCGAATTGGCTAATAAAATGAAATGGGGTTTAACGCCCTACTGTTCTGCTCCGAACTGGGCTAATGAAGACAGGCATACAATGGGCTTATCAAGACGGGCATACGCCATACAGTGTGCTATGAGGTAATAATAAAATAAAACCTAGTCCGAACAATCCAACCATTAGACAAAATTCGAAGTCCTAAAACAAGGTATGGGCAAAATAGTGTATTCAGCAAATGGACTATTCACCATGTACAAAATACATGATGAACTGTAGTAACAGGAGTCCGGAAGAGTAAGCTTACCCTGCCTGGCACCATAGTTGCATCCAAACGGTTAGACGAAATTTTGCCCGGACAGCGGCGTTAGGTCCTACTCTATATAGAAGTCCAATTGCCAAGGGATCTTTTACGTGCACTCCAATGTGTATACAGGACCTCTGTTTTTCGTCCCATCCGAACGACTAGACAGCTATCCTTGTCAGCCCCTCCGTCCTACACTACTGTCATGGGAAAACCGCGCCGGAAAATCTCGATGAACCTTCTCGTAAAACACCGGGAGCGAACCCGCGATCTCCATGCAGGCTAGCGAGGCTCCCCAATTTTGACGAGGGGGAGAGAGAGATAGGGGTTAACGTCCACTCGACCCAAATTTGCTCCTTTCGGGACTAACATATGGTTCAAATTTATTTCAATAATTCGCATAATCCATTCCAATAAAGTTGGGAGAGGGTAACCTTTTCATTTTTAAACAAATTAGGCGGTATTTAACGGCAGGAGACCTAGCTGCCGCTTGTCTCCATAGTAACGTAGTGGCGATTGTCTCTGCGATTAACAAGAATGGAACTTATATGGTCATTTTAAGTTAGTTTTACGTCTGGAAAAGGTTTCTTTGCATTAAAATAGTAATACTACTGATTCTGCGAAGGTCGTAAAGTCTGACTGGGATAATGAAGACGAATATTTTATCAAGTATACTCTTTGTTATTATGTTAATGCAATACTGCCCTGCTATACAAACAAATACCAAAATATAGACTCCTGATCACAGAGTTCGATATTGAGCCAGAAAGTTTATATACGACTGATCTCCTAATTATGCCCGTGATGGAAACATTTGACTCTGCTTTCCAAAAACAAAGGCTGTGACTGGAATGGGAATATTGCATCGTGCTTGCCAAAGACAAAGGATGTGACTGGAATGGAAATATTGTACTATCGTGGTTCTCCATCGTGCTTTCCAAAGACAAAGGATGTGACTGAAATGGGAATATTGTTCAATCGTGGCTCTATCCATCGTGGATCGGAATCGCAGGAACCATCAAGATTTTAAACATTGTACAATGACGATATATTTAAAACCCTAGTTCTAAAATATAAATGCACGGTTGATGTAGGTACCTTCATTTGTAAGGTTTACAAAATCCACTCAACTTACTTGTACAGTTTATCTGTGGTTTTGACCAGGAACCAGCAACATTACAATTGATTGTACCGGGGCCATTTTGTAAGAAACCGGTTATACAACGATATACAGCTCTTCGATTGGTTAAATCAAGACTGAGGGTGCTGTTTGGTACCACGAAGCTTAGTCTTTTACATTTTCCCACTGAAAAGGTTTAGGTCAATAATCATGAAATGAAATGAATTGGGGTTTGACGTCCTATTGTTCTGCTCCTATGCTGAGCTAATGAAGACGGGCATACGTCATACAGTGTGCTATGAGGGAAATTTTGCCCGGGCAGCGGCACTATCGCCTACTCTTATATCGAATTCCAACTGCCAAGGGATCTTTTACGTGCATTCTAATGTATACACGGGACCTGGGTTTTTCGTCTCATCCGAAGGACTAGTCAGTTGTCCTTGACAGACCCTCCGTTCTGCACCACTGACAAGGGGAAACCACGTCGGAAAATCCAGATGAACTTTCTCGGCCAATGCAGAGATCGAACACCCGACCTCCAGGCTAGCGAACCAGCGTCTTAACCAACTAGCCACCGTGGCTCCTAATCATGAAATAGCATGTTATGTCCTATTTGTCTGTGTCAGCTCCTTCTTCAACCCGATCCGCGGGTCTAAAAAAGCACCAACAAATATGTTCCGAAAAAATGTTCGTGAAATCAAACGTGTTAGATTTTTGGACTTCTGTTGTTTATCGTCTGCGTTGAAGCCGAACATTCGCGGAACATTTTATTTCTTGCAGCACCAATCCGCGATCACATATCACGACACTCAAATGTCATGCGATATGTATGCTATTTTGAAATTACGTGATTTTATAATGGCGGTAGCTATGACGTATTTAATAGAAACGTCATTGGGCGGTAGTGTATTGTTCGACCAAAAACATTCGTCCGTCTGCAAGACCATGTTACAAACTATAACTTAATGATAAACATCGAAGGAATATTATGCGACCACCAGACTCATTACTTACTACTACATGATATTACTGGTGTAGACCATTGGCTGTTAGACAAACATCTAATTAAACCAGAACCTGTTTGTACATAACCAGTGCTGCATCTGTATGTAGCTGTTGATCCATAAGTCGTACGGCTTACCGTCAAATAGGAATTCAGCACCGTAAATTTTGGACGCTGACAATTTCTAACTGGAATTTAAAACAAGTATTCGATACATCATATTTATACAGATTTGTGGTTTTGGTTGCTTTGGGTTTTTTGGAGGTGCGGGTGAGGGGTAGGGTCTTTTTGTTTGTATTGTTCTATACCTCAATTTTATTATTCAACCAACCGAATACATAATAAATATATTCACCGCTACCTGTTCATTTCAGTAGTTTTCTTTTATCTTATCACAATTAAATGAAATGTTGAAATGATTTCACTACATCCTATAGCATCGCTTATTGGCAAATAAAGAATGTGACTTACTTTTACACGAAATGAGTGGTGTTGACCATGTACCATTAGTTCCACAGGTAGTTGAACCGGAACCAGTTTGTATAAAACCAGTTTTACATGTATATGTAGCCCTTGAACCGTATGTAGTTGAGCTTACACTCAAAGTGGAATTGGGGACTACAAATCGTGGACTAGGACATATGATATCTGAAATGAAGAATATGTCATAGTTATACACTTAATGCTACAAGCTGCTATAGTTATACAAGCAATACACATACTGCTACAAGCAGTTATATTTGTACAGGTAATACACATACTACTATAAGCTGTATGACACAAGCAAAAACCTTACTGCGACAAGCCGTTATAGTTATAGAAGCAATAAATATACTGCTACAAGATGTTATAGTTATACACACTGTATAAATCTACTGCTACAAGATATTACAGTTATACACACTGTTATAGCTCTACAATAAATAAACTTACTGTCCAAGCGGTCTTAGTTAAACAATAACCCGGCTGCTGTAAGCTCTTACAGTCATACAAATAAATAACAAACTTACTACTGCATGATATTGCTGGTGTTGACCATTGACTATTAGACAAACATCTAATTAAACCAGAACCGGTTGGTTTGTAACCAGTGCTGCACCTGTATGTAGCCGTTGATCGGTAAGTCGTACTGCTTAACGTCAAATAGGAATTCCGCACCGTAAATTTTGGACGCTGACAATTTCTTACTGGAATTTAAAACAAATAATTGATACACCATATTTATACAGATTTATGTATTTGGTTTTTCTTTGGATGTGCCGGGGGGGGGGGGCGTTTCATTTGTACCTATACCTCAATTTCATTATTAAACAAACCGAAGACTTAAAGAGGATATAGGTGTCAGTCATTATCACATATGTGACAGAACTAATTAAACACGTTCCAATTATAATTCTAACACAGAGATCATTGCTACGACAGCTGAGTAATACAGGTTTCCTGGACCGGAAGTGACGAACGCCAAAGGAAAACACGAGCCATCCCTCTATATAACTGACTGAAGTGACGAGTAATAACAGATACATGGGCGAATTTCTGCTCACTAATAATTCCTTCCAAGACCAAAAGTTGTTGTGTGAGACTGTGAGAGGATATCTGACAATTCATAAAAAGAATTGACTGCCACTAGATAAGAGAACAAAAAGAAAAACAGAAAAAGTCGGTGCATTACCATGTTTTTATAAGGTATAGAATGAATATAAACAAGGAAATGTACGGACTATTTCTATTTTACTCGTGTTCTCTTATCTAATGACATTCAATTACTTAATTGAATTGTCAGGTATCCTCTTACAGTCCCATATAACAACTTTTGGTCTTCGAAGGAATTATTAGTGAGCAGAAATTCGGCCGTGTATCTGTTATCACTCGTCACATCAGTCAGTTATATAGAGGGATGACTCGTGTTTTCCTTTGGCGTTCGTCACTTCCGATTCGGGCAACCTGTATTACTCAGCTATCGTAGCAATGATCTCTGTGTTAAAATTATATTTGGAATGTGTTTAACCAGCTCTATCACATATGCGATAATGACTGGCACCAATATTATCCTTTAATAAATATGTTCATCGCCACCGGTTCATCTAGCCAGCCAGCTTCATTTCAGTAGTTTTCTTTTATCTTATCACAATTAAATGAAATATTGAAATGATTTCATTACATCCTATAGCATCGCCTATTGGCAAATAAAGAATACGACTTACTTTTACACGAAATGAGTGGTGTTGACCATGTACCATTAGTTCTACAGGTAGTTGAACCGGGACCAGTTTGTATAAAACCAGTTTTACATGTATACGTAGCCCTTGAACCGTGTGCAGTTGAGCTTACACTCAAAGTGGAATTGGGGACTATAAATCGCGGGCTAGGACATTTATCTGAAATTGAGAAGCTGTTTAGTTACATAATCAATAAGATTACTGCTACAAGATGTTATTGTTTAGAAGCAATAAGCATAAGGTAACCAACTGTTTGTTTTCTAGAAATACACTTACTGGTACATGCTATTATAGTTATATACGCAAAAGGTCGACTGCTACAAGATGTTATAGTTATACAAGCAATTCACTTACTGCTACAATATATTCTAGGTGTTGACCATTGACTGTATGATATACAAGCAATAAACTTACTGCGACAAGCCGTTATAGTTATAGAAGCAATAAATCTACTGCTACAAGATGTTATAGATATATACACTGTTATAGTTATACAAGAAATAAACTTACCATCCAAGCGGTTTTAGTTAAACAATAACCCGGCTGCTGTAAGCTCTTACAGTCATACAAATAAATAACAAACTTACTACTGCATGATATTGCTGGTGTTGACCATTGACTATTAGACAAACATCTAATTAAACCAGAACCCGTTTGTACATAACCAGTGCTGCACCTGTATGCAGCTGTTGATCCATAAGTCGTGGTGCTCAACGTCAAATAGGAATTCCGCACCGTAAATTTTGGACGCTGACAATTTCTAACTGAAATATAAGACAAATATTTGATGCAACATATTTAAAAATCGTGTTTTTGTCTTTTTGTTTTTGGTGGGGGTGGGGTGGGGGTCTTTTATACAATGTTCAATGTTCAACAAACCGAAGACATAACAGATATTTAACCTTCATCGGTTCATCTGGCCAGGCAGCTTCATATTAGTATTATTTTCTTTCATCTATCACAAACAAATCATTAATGTTGAAAATATTTAATACATCCTATAGCATCGCTTATTGGCATAAAAAGAATACGACTTACTTTTACACGAAATGAGTGGTGTTGACCATGTACCATTAGTTCCACAGGTAGTTGAACCGGAACCAGTTTGTATAAAACCAGTTTTACATGTATATGTAGCCCTTGAACCGTATGTAGTTGAGCTTACACTCAAAGTGGAATTGGGGACTACAAATCGTGGGCTAGGACAAATTATAGCTGAAATGGAGAATATGTCATAGTTATACAGGGAATACACTTACTGCTACAAGTTCTTACAGTTATACAAGCAACTTACGAGGGGTGATTGATAAGTAGTGCGCCTGATTGGAAAACCGCGCAACACAATGATACCACGTTTGCACGTGCACTATTATGTTCCTCGGGCTCTGTCACAAACTTTCATCACATTCGGTTAAACTGTTTGGTTGTGACAGGTCATATCAAGTAGGGTCTGTTGTTATCAGAAAATGGACCATATCGAGGCGCGAGCTGTGATTAAGTATCTGCATAAAAAGGGTCTAACACCGAAAGCCATACATGATGATATGGTGGAGACATTAGGAGATGATGCTCCTTCATATGCCACAATTAAAAGGTGGTCAGCAGAATTCAAGCGTGGCCGAGACAGCATTGAAGACGAACCACACTCTGGTCGACCAAAAACTGTGTCAACACCTGAAATGGTACAAAAAATCCATTATCTGATAATAAATGAGTTACTGAACGATTCATAGCTGGGGTAGTTGGTATAAGCCAGGAGAGAGTTCATTCTATTAGCACTGAAACTTTGGAAATGACAAAGGTTTCAGCACGATGGGTGCCAAAGCTTTTGACGCCTGATCAAAACCGTTCAATTCAGAAGAGAATCTAGCCTTATTTGAAACCGATCCTAAAACAAATTGTTACTGTGGATGAAACTTGGGTCCACCACTTTCAGCCAGAAACAAAAGAGCAGTCAAAACAGTGGAAACATGTGACGTCGCCGACCCCAAAGACGGCAAAGACTGTTTCATCGGCAGGAAAGTTGATGGCCTCAGTATTCTGAGTGTGTTTTCATGGTGGATTACCTCCAAAAGGGTCAAACAATTAACGGTAGATACTGTGCAGCACTTATAAGGCAGTTGAGGCCAAAAGACGAGGAAAGCTGACCAAAGGTGTGATTTTCCACCAGGACAATGCGCCAGTGCACAAATCAGCTGTTGCCATGTCAGCAATCCATGACTGTGGGTTTCAACTTCTTTAGCATCCACCCTACTCTCCTGATTTAGCTCCCTCAGACTTTTATCTGTTTCCTGCTCTGAAGAATTGTCTTTCCGGTAGGCATTTCCCGTCTGACGATGACGTCATTGCTGCTGTGGATGATTTTCTACAAACCCAAGACAAAGACTTCTACAGAACTGGAATAAAGGCTCTGCAACACCGATGGCAGAAGGGTATTACATTGAAGGGGGACTATGTTGAAAAATAAATGCATTTGATTTGAATTTCTTGTTTCTTTCTGTGTTAGACTCACTACTTATCAATCACCCCTCGTACTGCTACAAGTTGTTATAGTTATACAAGCAATAAACATACTGCTACAAGCAGTTATATTTGTACAGGCAATACACATACTACAATAAGCTGTATGATATACAAGCAATAAACTTACTGCGACACGCTCTTATAGTTATAGAAGCAATAAATCTAATGCTACAAGATGTTATAGTTTTACACGCTGTTATAGTTATACAAGAAATAAACCTACCGTGCAAGCGGTTTTAGTTAAACAATAACCCGACTGCTGTAAGCTCTTACAGTCATACAAAATAATAAACTTACTACTGCATGATATTGCTGGTGTTGACCATTGACTATTAGACAAACATCTAATTAAACCAGAACCGGTTGGTTTGTAACCAGTGCTGCACCTGTATGTAGCTGTTGATCCATAAGTGGTACTGCTTAACGTCAAATAGGAATTTCGCACCGTAAATTTTGGACGCTGACAATTTCTAACTGGAATTTAAAACAAATAATTGATACACCATATTATACAGATTTGTGTATTTTGTTTTTCTCTGGATGGACGGGGGAGGGCGTTTCATTTGTACCTATACCTCAATTTCATTATTAAACAAACCGAATATATAATAAATATATTCACCGCTACCTGTTACTCTAGTCAGCCAGCTTCATTTCAGTAGTTTTCTTTTATTTATCACAATTAAATGAAATGTTGAAATGATTTCACTACATCCTATAGCATCGCCTATTGGCAAATAAAGAATGAGACTTACTTTTACACGAAATGAGTGGTGTTGACCATGTACCATTATTTCCACAGGTAGTTGAACCGGAACCAGTTTGTATAAAACCAGTTTTACATGTATATGTAGCCCTTGAACCGTATGTAGTTGAGCTTACACTCAAAGTGGAATTGGGGACTAAAAATCGTGGACTAGGACATATGATATCTGAAATGAAGAATATGTCATAGTTATACAGGGAATACACTTACTGCTACAAGTTGTTACAGTTATACAAGCAACTTACTGCTACAAGTTGTATAGTTATACAAGCAATACACATTCTGCTACAAGCAGTTAAATTTGTACAGGCAATACCCATACTACTATAAGCTGTATGATACAAGCAATAACCTTACTGCGACAAGCCGTTATAGTTATAGAAGCAATAAATCTACTGCTACAAGATGTTATAGATATACACACTGTTATAGTTATACAAGAAATAAACTTACCATCCAAGCGGTTTTAGTTAAACAATAACCCGGCTGATGTAAGCTCTTACAGTCATACAAATAAATAACAAACTTACTACTGCATGATATTGCTGGTGTTGACCATTGGCTATTAGACAAACATCTAATTAAACCAGAACCGGTTGGTTTGTAACCAGTGCTGCATCTGTATGTAGCTGTTGATCGGTAAGTCGTACTGCTTAACGTCAAATAGGAATTCCGCACCGTAAATTTTGGACGCTGACAATTTCTAACTGGAATTTAAAACAAATTATTGATACACCATATTTATACTGATTTGTGGATTTGGTTTTTCTTTGGATGGGCCGGGCGGGGGGCGGGGGGTGTTCCATTTGTACCTATACCTCAATTTCATTATTCAAAAAACCGAAGAAATAATAAATATGTTCATCACTACCGGTTCATCTAGCCAGCCAGCTTCATTTCAGTAGTTTCCTTTCATCTCATCACAAGTTAATGAAATATTGAAATGATTTCATTACATCCTATAGCATCGCTTATTGGCAAATAAAGAATGTGACTTACTTTTACACGAAATGAATGGTGTTGACCATGTACCATTAGTTCCACAGGTAGTTGAACCGGGACCAGTTTGTATAAAACCAGTTTTACATGTATATGTAGCCCTTGAACCGTATCTAGTTGAACTTACACTCAAAGTGGAATTGGGGACTACAAATCGTGGGCTAGGACAAATTATAGCTGAAATAGAGAATATGTCATAGCTATATAGGGAATGCACTTACTGCTACAAGTTGTTATAGTTATACTGCCAACTTACTGCTACACGCTGCTATAGTTATGCAAGCAATACAAATACCGCTACAAGCTGTTATAGTTATACAAGCAATAAACTTACTGCTATAAGCTGTTATAGCTATACACGCTACTTATTGCTACAAGCTGCTATAGTTATACAAGCAATACACATACTGCTACAAGCTGTTATAGCTATACAAGCAAAAAACATCCTGCGACAAATTGTAATAGTTTTACAAGCAATAAAATTACTGCGACAATATATTACTGGTGTTGACCATTGACCGTTAGACAAACATCTAATTAAACCAGAACCTCTTTGTGAAAAACCAATACCACATCTGTATGTAGCTGCTGATCCATAAGTAGTGCTGCTTATCGTCAAATTGGAATTCCGTACAACAAATTTCGGACGCTGACAATTTCTGACTGAAATTTCACAGTAACAACGGCTATACAAAATTGTATTTGGGCGCTTCTTATGTACGAAACACTAACATACATTGTTCTTCCTTGTAGTGTGCGTGGGTGTGTGTGTGTGTGTGGGGGGGGGGGGTATGTGTGTGTGTGTGTGTTGGGGGGGGGGGGGGCTTCGATTCTCTACAGGCATCGATACCGCATTTTTAAATAACCCAACGCTATCCAGTCAGACACGAGTTTAATATTCTGATAGTTTGCTGTTATTTTAGATCAAAGACAACAAAGAAACAAATCTTAAATTTTCAAGTTGTCTCATTACCTCCCATCGTATAGAAAATGGGGACCCAGGTGTAGGGGATTGGATGCCTTCGGCGTTGCCAAACTGTACATCTAAGAACCAGGCCTCGAGTATACTATATGTTTTAATCTTACTCAGGCTTCTTGTAAAAGACCCACAACTTACTTGTACAAGATATTCGCGGAACCGACCATACACCATTCGACTCACAGGAAATTGAACCAGTACCGGTTTGTTTAAAACCAGTTTTACATGTATATGTAGCTCTTGAACCGTATGTAGTTGACTTTACACTCAAAGAGGAGTTTGGAACCACATATCTTGGATGCTGGCAATTTCTGACTGAAATGTATCAATATATTCGAGAACATATTTTACGAGGTATGAACACTTTTTAGAATCTCGAAATGAAATGGAACGAGGTTTTACGTCCTACTGTTCTGCGCCGACTGGGCGAATGATGACAAGCATACGCCATGCAATGTGCTACGGTCTACTTATATCGAATTCCAACTGCCCAGGGATCTTTTACGAGCACGCTAATGTGTACACGGGACCTAGGTTTTTGCCCCATCTGAACAACTAGACTGCTGTCCTTGTCAGGCCCTCCCGTTCTGCATAATTGACAAAGGGGGGGACGCATGGGAAAATCCCGATGAACTTTCTCGGCCAACGCCAGAGCAACCGTGGCTCTCTTAATAGAATCATGATTTCCGACTTCAGTTCGATTACAAATGACCAACATACTTGTACATCGGAGTGTTGGTGATGTCCATTTCGCATTTGATTGACAAACTGCCGTTGTTGTACCACTACCAATATAACCTGTTATACATCTATATTCAGCTCTTGATCTATAAGTAGTTGTTGTATATGTTGGTTTAGAATTACCAACAAATGGTATTCTACCACAATTCACAACTGAAACAGAACAATGTTAATTGATCCTTATTTGTTAAGCAATTAAATTGGAGGAGATTTTTTAGAATGAACATCTACTGGTATCGTACCACAGTTCACTACTAAATTATAGAAAAGATAAAATCGAATATAATTTATTCAAATAAAATTATAAATAATTAAAACTCTGCATTTCGTTCAAATGCTGTATGTGGAAGTGAGCAGTAGAACAAATTCCTCCATTATAATTGACGATATAGTGGTTCTTTACTCCATTTCTTGATGGTATAAAGGATGCTGATTTGATTGTGAGGAGAATTTGGAAAAGAAGGATGTACTTTGATCCACAAGAAATGACGCTAGTACCAATGCCATAACCAGTTTTACATGTATACACAGCAGTTGATTTATATGTTGTACTACTAAATGATACTTGGCTGTTTGATATAACTACTGTAGGTCGACGACAGTCTGATACTGTGGTTATTAAAAAAAGGGCTGGACATTCAAGTCTATATTGATGGAAGTACTGATGATAACCAATAAACATACAATCACGATAAATATTCAATGTAAAATGTACTAACAATTACCAAACGTAGTTATCAGTAATAGTGATGACCAGTCATAATCCTATTCGTGATCTGTAATATTACCAATGAAGGCCCTTAATTGCATCACCAGTGAAGGTCAGTAATAGCATCACCAACGATGATATTTAATAGTATCACCAGTGATGCTCATTAATGGCATCATCAATGATGATATTTAATATTGGATCAATGTCTTACCATACAATGTCTTACGATACACATAAATATTTGTTTGTGCGGTTTATGTTATTAGAAATGTTTAGATATTATTTAGTACTATATAAAGTGTATTGTTCTGCAACGTCTGAACTAAGGAAGACCGGCATTGCCATACAGTGTTGAGGGAAATTTTGTCTGGACAGCGGCACTACGTACGGCCTATATCGAATTTCAACTGTCAATGTTTTGTTCACGTACACGTCAATGTGTACATCAGATTTCGGTTTGTCCTGCATTCCGAACAACTATACGTTGCCCCTTGCCAGGCCCCGAGTCCTGCACTACTCCAACGAGGAAACCACGCCGGAAATCCAGATGAAATTTATCGGTCAACACCAGGATCAAACACGGGACCTTCAGATTAGTGAGCCAACGACTTTCTCACTGAGGCACTGTGGATCCCTTATGTTATTAGAAATATTAGAGATATTCTAGAATTACATGTATATTGTGGACTAAACGATATGCAGATTTCCTACCAAATGTAGATCAATTTCACGACCTGCTTCAGGAAATAAACGAATAATCATAGTGTTCATTGATAATGGTTATTCTAAAACAGGCGCACCTTTAGTCGAACACGTCAGCGTTGGTTGTGACCATTTACCATTTGCTGTACAAGTTGTGTTACCAAACCCCACCTCATTTAAACCCTTCACACAGCTGTAGGTGGCTGTCGATCCAAATGTTGTCGTTTTAAACGACACGGTAGCTCCAGCTATTGCGAATGTTGGTGGTCGACAATTAACAACTGAAAAGAACCATTGATAACTGGCATTAGGTGTTTTCATAGCATGATGGTATTAAATTGTACCAATGAGCTGGAACCAAGAGAATTGAAGATGAGTTTATGTTTGAATGAAAAATCTGTTAAACAGTATTATAGAAGACCAAAACAGCTCTTTATTAAGTGTTCTTAATTCTTAGTTCTTAATTCATAGTCCTTAATTCCAAGTTACTTCATTTGTTATTGTTTTTCGACATTTGTACACTAATTTTAACATCTGTATCTTGAAATCAATATTTGTTTTACAAATCAGACATTTGTCCTTTCACATTTGTAAATTGTATTTTTGCTTAAAGATAAGTTATGGGTGATTAGACAAAGAGCTGGCAGTTCTCACTATAATAGTTAACAACTAGATAATGTAAAGGGACTTTGCGGAAAATTTCAGTCAAATTAATCCACTCCGAACCGAGATTTTAGCGATTCAATTTTCGGCCTAGCCTCGATCATCATTACTAAAGTCGGTACGATAAAAAACATAACCTCTAGTATCTATTTCATGATTAAATCATGAATGGAAGTCTAACAGCAAATCGGAACCTAATCCAATAAACATCACAGGCTAGCGATGACATCGAGAGTTGATTATGGTCTGGATAAGTTAATTAATGTCTAATTAATGATTTAGATAACATTTACATTTCATCATAGACATACAACGAAAGACAAATCTCGAACAACAAATTTACAAATACATGTACAAATCTTCAATTACAAATCTTGCAAAATATTTTTCCTAAAAAAAATTCGTGGAATTCATCGAACCGGAACATCATGACGACATGAGCAGAAATCAAGCAGGCATACAATAAGACAAAATACAATAATTGGGAATCGAGCAATAAGAAAAATCGCTCGATGACCGTGACTTTAGTAAATTCACGTGCGTGTTATGGCTAATCCATAAGCATAGAGTTATGTTGCTATGGGTTAATCTGATCTAGCATTAAATAAAATAAATTGAAAGTAGTCTATTTTTAGTAATTAAGATTATATTTTGATAGCGACTTATTTCTTTGGACAAACGAGGATGATTGTATCTCTTCTAAGTCACGTAATCATGAATGTGCCAGTAAATATCTAATACTCGTGTATCAAAGAGCGATATATGCATTAAGACCCGCATTCTGACCTTTAAGTACCCAACAAATTAAATAGAGTTCAGACAATCCAAATTATATCTGATTTGACAAGATCCGTATTTTGACTTTAAATACCCCCCCCCCTCCTCCTCTCACATAATAAAGTTTAGTACCGTGAAACGTTGATCTTTTTTCAAAGTATGTAAATATAGGCCGTTTACCGGTGTCTCTAACACATTCAAGTAAACCAAATATTCAACTGTTTCATCTAACTGGGGTAATAACTGATTTTCTTATGATGAGTGGGCCGACTTTGTTTTGTTGCGCCCCCGCCCCCCTGGGAAAAAATGTTTGTGCGCCCCTGTTTGAGGGACTAGATGAACAATACTGATTATCTGGATGGTGGTCATAATCAGCCGAGAAATAATTCGAAAAAAAATCGGACTGCTACTTACTTGTACAAGAAATTATCGGAGTTGTCCAGACTGCATCCGCGCCGCAGGATGATAATCCTTGACCACTTTGGATATACCCAGCATTACACTTATATTTAACCATCGACTGATAGTTGGTGCTCGTATATTTACGACCGGCGTTTAAAACAACTCTTGGTTTACCACAGTCCACTGCACACGAGTCCTTTAAGTGAGTAAAACCAATATGCATCATTAAGTTTACAGTTTATTAAAAATTACTGATTAAAATTGGAGCAAAACCTTACATTCAAAACAATAAGATCTTATTCTAATGTTTTGGCATGGTATTTACTTTCTCGATGTGTGCTTCCCAACTATAGTTCATGTAACCTGTATTTTCATACCTTTTCCGTAATCTCTTAATGATCTGAATTATAAAACAATCTTTTCTAAAGCAATAACCTTTTAAAATATAAACTTAAAGGGTAGAACAATGGTTTTCAACATGGTTTGCATAGATTTTAAATATATATTTAGACACCCCATCCCTCCCCCTATAACACAAGCAAATACATATAAAAAATGAAATATTCGTTGCACACTCGCTTCTGCTTTTTAAGCAAAAAAAAATATCAATCTGATTAAACACAGATCCTATTTCGTTTCGTTTTTTATAGTTCAAAATTTCGTTTTTCTTGTATTTACTACACTAGGATCGGGAAGAGTTATTATCATTACGTGTTCTGGATGATGTGAGGGTTTCGGCCTGTTACAGCGAGCTTTTGGCGTGTGGTGCACGGAACTGTGGGTAATCCACTAGAAATATCAATGCTGATTAGTTGAACAAATATCTGGCATCATAGGGCCAAAAGCCGCTCGTATGACCCCTGACGCGACCTATCACTACAACCGGTCAGTTCTTCATGTAGAATAAAAAACGAAAGAAATATAGATCTGTATTTTAATCAGATTGAAAAATTATATATCTCAGATCTGTATTATTTTGTCCATTTCGATTTTCCATGTTCATATTTGTTGTAACACACTAACAATGACATTACTAATAGTCACTGTGATCCAATACGCGTTACATGAATCAAAAGCAAGATGATCGCCATAGATTGGTAAACATTGTTATAGACCACAAAATTTAATGTGAATACTGGTCATCTTATAAGACATTGATCAGTTAGTTTTACTGATTTCAGCTACCAATATTTTAAATGTCTATCATGCCCTGCTTTCCCGAAGACCACCGTGACTTTGCAGACCCCTCTAGATCACCGTTGACACATGGCTATGTACAATTACATTGTTAGTTCATTTCTAATATTAAATCAATGTATAAAATATTCTCACTAACTCCGTCACAGTTTGTAAAACACAGAGTAAAATTACACTCGAAAGATAACTGGGAGTCATCATGTAGATGAAATGTTTTGAAGTAAGGACTTCGTGACGTTCTCCCCTTGGTGATGAACCCAGCCGATTTTTCAAAGACAGCTCCATCTCCACATCTTTGATAGAAAAAGAAAAATAACTGAAGGTCATTGCACGATACATAAGCACATTGATCGTAATAATTTACTTTTATTGCAAAGTTCTGCTTAAATGCATTACTATCAATGAAACCTTCATGGCACATAAATAATAACGTTTATCTATATCGAGAAATACATATAGACATAATATATGTTGTATTATAGAGGGCATGTAATTTTATCTGATTTACAATTTTTATTTATATATATATATATATATATTTACCGAATGAAATGAAATGGAGTTTAACGTCCTACTGTTCTGCTCCTAATGAAAACGGACATACGCTATACAGTGTGCTATTGAGTGACATTTTGCCAGGGCAGCGACACTACGGTCTACTCTTATTTCAAATTACAATTACGTACACGCCAATGTTTTTCGCCCTATACTGGCAATGGGAAACACGATGAATTGTCTCGTCCACAACCGGGATGGAACCCGAGCAATGGAGGCACTACACTATAAATGCTAAAAAAAATCATTTAGAGTTAACAATAACAAAATCAAACAACCCTGCTTTTAAAACTGAATATCTGGAGTTTGTTTTCTGTCCAACAGCATCACAACTAACGGGTCTCAAGCCAACTTCACCATCTGTAACATACAATAAATATGGCGTCTAATAGTAACCACATTACACGCGAAACTAAACCGACAAGACAGACCAGTGGGAAATAGACAAACTATACATATATAGACGTTTTAAGAAATAAGTTGCAAGCGCCCATAGTGCTGTACATTCCCGAGCCTGTAATGATGCGTGTTCACTAGCATTTACAAGAAAGACGTAATAGAAGTGGTACCATTATGTTCTGCATTTTTTTTCTCCAATTGTCAGCTTCACAATTTCACTGAATTCCTTGCACAATTTAACCTTAATAAATGAAACTGTGTTTAACGTCTTTCTTTTCTGCACTAATTGAGCTGATATGTTGTGTGGAAAGAGGAAACCTTCGCCCTGGCGGTAACCATGCGGCAAACTATTTATATTCTAACCTGTCATGAGATCTTTGACTGCTGTCAATGATAGAACCTCGGTATTTTGCCCTACTTGAAATTAGCCAACTAAGCTGGACAACCCACAGGAAACTTCCTCGGCCATCACCGGGATCGAATATATTTATCTCTTGATATGGCAGTGTTATACCAGTGTCACGGTGGCTCCCTTTCTCAAATATATGACGGAAAAACATTTTCTAGATTGTAACACCATAATTATAACCCGTGGTTGCCCCCCTTTATACTTACTTATTCCACTTGACGTGGCTAAAATTGTGACTTTATGATTTAGATCTATGGGACCAACAATATCCCGTCCAGCAACAGATTGTAGTCTGATTTGAAAGGCACTGCTAGCAACAACTGACCCAGAATTGAAAAGAATCAATTTAGGCGCCATACGTCTAAAATTAAATTAAATACCTTTGTAAATATGAATTTTAATCTTAAACAGTAATACCAGTTTTTTTTTTAAATCTAGCTTCTTTCATTTTATTTATATACTTTCTTGTATTATTCATTTCCAATCAAATCTGTAATAAGCTTCCAGTTGGACCCTTTCATTGTAGATACTTTTTTTTGGGGGGGGGGGCGACCGAAGAGGGTTACAGATGAAATTAAGCTTACCCTTCCGGACATCTGTTACCACTGTTAATCTTGGTGAACAGTCCAATTGCTGATTCTATTTTACTGCTGTTTTTTAGTAATTCGAATTTGGTCTAATGGTTTGGATTGTTCGTACTAGGATTCATTTCATTTATTGGATGATCGAAGAGGGTTACAAATGAAATTAAAGGGCTAAAACACAATTTGCAGTAACAGCGGTCATGAAGTCAGTGTGACATGAGGGAAGCGTCGATTACGTTGCTTCGAATTCCAACTATCAAGGAGTATTGTGCTTGTGCACGGAACATCGCTTGTGCATCCCATCCGAACCATTGTTTATTGCCACGACCTCCGCCTCGCACAGCTGACGATGAACATTCTCAACGCATAAACACGATGGATCACGCATCACCCGAGTAGTAGCTTGATGTATTTGATTGACCAGTTGACCGTACACAGTTCTTTTACAGCTGAAAAAGACGTGTTTATATTTTCTTACCCCTGTGTAATTTGATGTGTAGGAGATCTGTCAACACCATGATCATCAAATGTACACGTGACAGTGTAGATCTGATGGTCGTTAATTCTACTGTCTACGCTACCGTACTCTACTAAAACATCTACAGTGTATGTTGAACCACCGGGTATGTTCTGTAATACAGATATAGTTACATTGAACATCTACAGTGTATGTTGAATCACCGAGTTTGATCTGTAATGAGTTTGTTCTGTAATATAGATAGAAGGAAAGTAAACTGAGATATGTAATGAAATAGAAAGTGGTTTTTAGCCGTGCGTGTAGGAATCTTTAGCAGTGGGGTGAAACCGGCGGACCAGGAGAAAACCCAGGCGATCCTTCTCCTTGTCACGTACAAGCGGGGAATCGAAACCACGGCACTTGACTCAATGACAGATCTCACGATGCAACGCGCACACTTTAACCATTCGCTCCCACCCCCTATGTTTAAAGAATAAACGCAAGCGCACATGCATATGTACCTTTTGCGAATCATCTGACGCAATTTTGTTATCAATCACCATCGATTCACCAAGAAAATGGATTTTGGTTTGATTCGTTTATCGTCAACACACAATAAGGCGGACTACAGATTTACGAAATTACAGGATGGTCGGTAAAATGTTCAAATAATGTTATACTTAACTTAAATCTACAGTTTTTATTGCCAGCACTGAAGGTACCCCTTATCTGATAGTGAACACCATCTTGAGATAAAAAAGATTGGTCTCCGTTCAAACATTTCGCTGTAGCGTATATTATCCGATCAGATAAAACCGTGATGACCGGATTGTCAGTCTTCAGATCCTTTCCACAATTTGGCTTAACTATATAAAAGATGAATTAAGATCTTGATCGTTTTTTTTTCATTCAATTTGCCGGTCATTTATGATGTCATTTCGGACTATAATTTACCTGGTGTTGTTCAATATTTATGATATATAGCCTTGCCTATAGGACACTGGACAGACGGATACAAACGCTGTATCTGTAAATATTGCCAATACTAGACTGATTAAAAGTAAATATGTTTGGTCATACCACATGGTCGCAAAACGTCGAGCTTCAGATTAAATATATTTGTCAATAAAAAAAAAATAAATAATTGTGGAATGTACAAATGGAGTGTGACGCCGCCAAATTCGTGTTAAGTGTGACAATAAATACGGACATATCTAAATCGTCTTATACAATAGGTGTAATTATCACTGTAGCTATGCTTTTAAAATGTAACATATCCAGCGCGATATCCATGACCAGTAAAAACCGAAAAACAATCCCATAACACAAGTACGTTTATCTGTACTACTACATGCCGTGCCCTATTTAATCTCTAAACGCTGTATGGGACATGTTAGATGCTCCAGTGCCATTCTATTTTTCAGACGAAGATTTCATATGATTGTAGTCTAAACATTAATAGAACATATAGAAATTAAGGTAGAACCTTCTAAAGATTTGTCAAGCTTTTAAGTGCAATGTCGTTGAACGAAACGAAATGAATTGGAGTTTAACGTCATACTGTTCTCCACCAACTGGTCTAATAAAGACGGATATGCCACATACATTGGGCTATGTGAGAAATTTTACCCGGACATCGGCACTACTGCCTACTATTATTTCGAATTCCATCTGTCGAGGGTACACGCCAATAATTTGAATACGTGTCTCCCCCATTGATGAACCCAAAGTACACTGGAGTAGAACGAAATGAGACCACCGGGTTTACCGAGGATGTGCAACTCTGTACTTATTTTCTAATCAAAGACGGGACAACAATTTCAAAATAGTTATATATTACCATTCAATAACTTATGATGTTGGACTCACCCTGTAAGATGTATTCTTCCGAACCGAGTCCATGGACAAGGCACTGAAAATAAAACAATACATTACCACATTTAAATAAATTTATAAAACCCCACAAGGTCACCCAGTTGCTCATATCATCCGAGAGATCACGTCCTACACAACAAGGTTACCCGGTTACTCATACCATCCGAGAGATCAGGCCCTACACTACAAGGTAACCTAGTTGCTCATACCATCCGAGAGAATGCAATTACACCACACGGTTACCCGGTTGCTCATACCATCCGAGAGATCACGTCCTACAGCACAAGTTACTCATACCATCCGAGAGATCAAGTCCTACACCACAAGATTACCCAGTTGCTCATACCATCCGAGAAATCACGCCTTACAGCAATCTCACAAAGGGAAACTAAAATTACAAATCTAGAAGGGTTGTTGTCAAACACCAGGATGGAACACATGATCAGCCGGGGAAACCTAGCGCATTTCTTATCGTCACTGGGCCACCGCCGTTCCTAACTGCGAAGAACGATCAATCGAATAGCTGGTCAAGTAGGTATAATAGAAATGAAATTTGTAACTAAATTATATTGGACGTCATGAACGAGACGGCGTGTTTACCTCTGCTCAAACGTCAAAAGATAATTTTCATATACCTAAATATTCCATCTACTTAGAACTGAAATGAATTGCAATGGGGTTTAAGGCCCTACTTTCCTGCACCAAATGGACTAGTGAAGACGGGCATACGCCATACAGTGTCCTATGAGGGAAGATTTTCCCGAAAAGAAACGCCAATACGTACTCTTAATAGGAATGCCAACTGTCATGGGTTCTTTTACGCGCACGCCTATTTGTACACAAATCTCGGTTTTCGTCCCACCCGAACGAACGACTAGACAGCTGTCATTGTTTGTCGGAAAAGTTCAACATTTTCGTGGCTTAATTTACGATAATATGTACTCAGACTGATTATGTAACATTTAAATTATAAACAAAAACAAGTTCAAAATAGCAACGTTAGATCTCCCGCATGGATGCAATTAGATTTCGTTAAGACGTTAAGGGCTGTGTTATAATATGCTGTCATCATGCGGTCACCAGTCTACAGTAGATTGTAAATTTGTGGAAAGTTGAACATCGAAGAAATGTAAAAAGTAAAGCGCATCATTTATACAGGAAATGAAATGAAATGGGATTTAAGGTCCTACTGTTCTGCTCCGAACTTGGCTAATGAAGACCGGCATACGCCATTCAGTGTGCTAGGAGGGAAACTTTGCTCGGACAGCGGCACTACGGTCTACTCTTATATCGAATTCCAACTGTCGGGGGGATCTTTTTACGTGCATGCCAATGTGTACACGGGACCTCGGTTTTTCGTACCATCCGAACGACTACTGTCTGATTCATCGTAAATTTTAAACGGATTTCTTCGATTATGAACAAACTACTTAACTTTGGTTATTATAAACTTACCTGTGTGTTTGTAATGAACTCCCGTTCGATAAAATCCATTGCACAACTAATTATCACAACGATGAGAACAATGTCTTCGTGACGTATTGGTCGAATCCAATATACCTGTTGCGGGGGTTGGTTAACATTGAAAGATAGTTTGACAGCGCGATCATTTTGATCGTATATGAGTTTGGGCGACGAAAAATATCAATTGAAGGCAATTACATAGGAGATTTATATGGAAACCATTGATCGCCAGTCTATCAAATTTTCTTCACAATTAAAATATCACTGATTGCACGGATACTCGTAAAAATAAAGTCATGAATAAACTATAAATATCCTATCTTCTTTATGTTATAAATAATTTAACAAGGATCATGAAGCTTACCTCCGAATTCTCTGAGTGTATTTTTAATTTTATACGCATTCTTTCGATCGAATAATAACCGCTTCAGTAACATCTTTAAGCGTGTTGCGGCAGCCCTCAGCGTGTCTATTGCCGTATTGGGTGCCCGGGTGGGTATATAATGCTACTAAGCCCGTATGACCCCGTAAGAAGCGGAACATTAATTCTCGTTTCGACAGTTTTGACCGAAGTGTGATAAAGCCCGTAAAACGAATGTATAGTTGTGTTTGTGCGGCATGCGTGTTCAAAAGTAAATAATCCCATCCGAGTCGCTAATCAAATAATTAAACAATATATTTTAAAAAGTAAAGCTATAAAATTTGCAGAGATTTTACTAGAATGTAAAAGACGGTAACTAAATACAGGAATGCGGGTAGTTATGTGTGCGAACGCTCAAACTCAATGCCAATTGTCGTAGGTATCCAGACCACTCGGACCAAAGACTACTCGGACTAAGACCAGTCGGACCAAAACAAGACCAGTCGGACCAATTAAATTATATTATAAGGCTAGACAATATGCTATTTATTTATTATAAAATCACAATACAAAGAAGCAAATAATTCTTATGCGGAATTCTTATATTTAGAGTTGTTTGGTTCAATTTTGTGTACGTAAATAAATCAACGATTAGTTTTAAAATTAATTAATAATGGTGCCAAAAAAAAATATCAATCTAATTTTTCTTTACTCTTGCAATGAGACTCGGTATGTCCAGACTTTTGACAGTTTCTACATATACGGGTATACTGTTCTTGTCTGATAGCCTAATTTTACTTTTTCCACATTCGCGGTATCCCCAGTGGTTTCATTCCGTTCTACCCCACTAACCCCTGGGTTACTATATATGGGGGTGGGGGGTGGAGACACGTTTTCAAGTTATCCGCCCTTGATGCGTTAATATAAACAGCACATAATAATACGAAGACCGGACGTTTATATGCCCCTTTTTAAACGTGACTACAAGTGTGGTTCTCGATATTTTGCGATTTGGAATACAATTATCAATTTATTCAAACAACACGTTACTATTAGTTCGAGTAGTCATATTAAAACACACACAATTATCAATTTATTCAAATAACACTTTATTATTGGTTCGAGTAGTCATATTAAAATAAACACAATTATCAATTTATTAAAATAACACTTTATTATTGGTTCGAGTAATTATATTAAAACAAACGCAATTATCAATTTATTAAAACAACATTTTATTATTGGTCTGAGTCGTCTTTCTGTTGGGTCCGAATAGTCTTTTTGTATGGTCCGAGTAGTCTATTTGTTTGGGCTGAGTGGTCTATCACTTGGTCCGACTGGTCTTGAACCGAGTGATCTTTGGTCCGAGTGGTCATGGATTCTTGTCGTAATTGTACTTGAATTTCCTATGCTGTCACCCCTAATACGAAATGATATCTTCCGCAGAGTGACGTAACCATCTTCCATATTGGTATTTTTCTCTGGGAAAAGTTTGTGATATTTCAATTTTTCAAGAGAGAACTTGTTTTCATCGTTGTGATAATTAGTTGTGCAATGGATTTTATCGAACGGGAGTTCATTACAAACACACAGGTAAGTTTATAATAACCAACGTTAAGTAGTTTGTTCATAATCGAAGAAATCCGTTTAAAATTTACGTTGAATCAGACAGTAGACAGCTGTCCTTGTCAGACGCTCGGCCCGGCATCACTGACAAGGGGGAACCACGCCGGAAAATCTGGATCGAACACCCGACTTCCAGGCTAGCGAGCCTTATAGCCACCGTGACCCCTATTTACATTAGGTTAAAAACAGATTGATGAAATTTCGTTCCATCAAATCTTTGTAAATACAGAACGGAAATGAACCATTTTTGGTCTGATATTCCTATTGGAAATTTAACATTTACAATATTGTAATTTGGAAGTGATTCTGACATGTATATCGCTCAACAAATTACTGTCGGAACTTCAAGGTTTAAAATGTCTTTAATTGCTTGTGTTACTAGTGTTACTTGTTAGGATACTAAAGACGACTTACCCCATGTATGGCTAGAACTGTAATCAAGCAGTAATAGGCATCCATGGCTGAAACATAAATACATATGGTCAACCTATACCACAGATTAGATTATTTAAATGCTGAACCACGTCTGGGATTTAAACATTAATAAGATAAGATAAGATTTTAGTATACAATTATAACATAACATCTGGGCTGATCATTTATGGATGTACAATGTGATATAATAAGTCTATAAGCATCAGTATAGAGCTAAAACGAAAAGTATCTAGACTAGCCTGGAAAGTAAACAAACCAAGTATTAGTATAATAGACATATTGTATTGAACAGGGGTGTTGGTTAATAGGTAACTCTGAAATAAGGCAAAAAAACCCTACTGTTGTGGTTCTTATGTCTTGGATTCATTCAATGATTGTACTTGTTGGTTATAAAAGTTTGTTTCAACCCAATTGATCTATCCTTTCAATTTCAGTTAGAACTTTCCAATCAGCCCTCGTATTACCTTATTAATATCGCGGCATCTATCGCGCTATTGGCCCCTATACGCTTCCATAGCGATTTCATGTAAATAGTAAGGTTATAAAGAAAGATCTAGTTTGTAGTTTCAGAATAAAAGTCAAATTACGATTTGTAATTCATTAAAAAATTGGAGATGATGTTGTGTGGCGTATAGTGTGGCATATCGTTTATTTGGATTGAACAGTTTGAACAGGTTTTGTATTATTTCGGTTTCTGCAGGATGTTTGGAATTGTTTTTATAATTCTGTAAATAAATAGCAATTATGATGTTTACAATAAACAATGTGCCTTACCTTGCTTCATCCCCCTTCTTACAGTCTGCCGTTCAAAGTTTGTGACATCATCACCGAGAAGTTGTGCACGGATTTATCACGTGAGTAAAATGGCGTTTATAAAAATATTTAAAGGGACACGGTTGGGTCAGTTGAAGGAATGAAATGAAACGGGGTTTAACGTCCTATTACCCCGAATTGGCTAATTAATACGAATTCAAACTGTCAACTGGGTTCATAAGCCCAGTAGGAGCAGAACAGCAGGATCTTAACCACCATTTCATTTCATTTACAACCGTGGTGTTACAACCGGATTAACCATGGTGGGGGCTGGAACATGTAGGGGCCCCTGATCACCGACCGCGGAGCTGTGGCCACGAAGCCCCGCAAGGGGGATCGGAGGGGGGGGGGTCAGAAATTAGAGGCCGGAAACGTGATATCCTGGCATTTCAGGCACTTGTGACGGAGCCATTTAGAAGTCCCCCCCCCCCCCCAGAAAAAATAAAATTCTGCCACAAAATTAGCGCATTCTGGCGTTATTTCTGTGGACCAATCCATGCGAGTGCTATGAAATGATGTCATTTCTAAAGGAGGGGGCTGGAGCCCATTGAGCCCGTTAAATCCGCTACTGTAAGTGAGCAGAGCTACATCAAACCTAATTTTGAAGTCGCTCAGTGATAAATAACGGGGTCACTTGATTCGGAATCGTATTATATCCCCCACGATGATTTGATGAATGGATACCGTAACGTTACGACCAAGCCGGACTCGATTTTTGACGAACGTCTAACACTGTAAGTACCAAATGGTAATACGAGATTTAATTAAGAAATCTGAATATTTCGTGTGATCATGATGTGCATCTCATCAAATTCAGCTTATACCCACAACAAATATCAACAACAACAACAACAACTACAGCTTATATACAATCGTACGCCAATCTGAGGCAAAATTCGCGCTACTCGAAATGATGGGGACTGGTAATTTGTTCGAGTTATACGATAATTCGAGTTAGACCATGTTCGGTCCGATAGAAGATCTCACGACAATAAAAGACCATGTGTTACACCCTTAGATAAAGCCACAAAAAGCGTTTATTTTTCAAATCTTCAAGTTTCCGGGAAGGTTGCCAAGGCACGCTCGCCTGCAAGATCCATTATTTACAGTTCGAGTTAGGCGATGTAAATAATAAGACTTCGATAAGGATTGTACCGGAAATTTGGTTCGAGCTATGTGATAAGTGATAATTCGAGTTACAGTTTCCTTTTCCTAGTTAATCGATGTTTTATAAAAGGAAAACGAAGCGCTAACATGGACTAAGTGTTCAGCCGGAAAATTATTCCCTTTGTAGCGCTCGACACTGGGAATCAGTGCTGACATGTACTCAACACAGGCTGCTCGACACGGGGAGCCTGTGTCGTGACATCTGAGCACAGGCTCCCTGTGCTACGGTTACACATGGGTTCTGGCTGTGTACATATAATTTGAAAAAACTACTGAAACAAAATGAGAGCAGAAATTCAACCACGTACAAGGCAGTACTCTCATTAGAATTTGACAATTCGCCTGTAAATAGCGTTGAATTCCGGCGATCCACTCAGAAAACATCTCGGAGCATCGGAGGGGCCCCGTCACTAGGTCACCGGCCGTTGGAGTCCTCGGTCCGATCATGCTCGAGGCGCGCAACTGAGATTTTTGTTGGGGGGGGGGGGGGGGGCTCTAATGTGGGGGGCGCTGGGGCCTGGACCCCATGGTGCCCCGTGGTTAATCCGGCGTTGGTGGTGTTAGATATTTTTCTACTAATAATAGTAATTGATTACCAGGATTTTCCTGTCTGTTTTCTTCTTGTCAGTAATGCAAGTCCACAGGTCTACAATAGCCCGTATGGTGCAGAAAGGTAATAAGTTAAACCCCATTTCATTTCATTTCAGTGGGTTTTTTTTTTATTTCTAGCCATATATACAGATGTGCATTAGTTCAATCTATAATATCAGGGGGTTGGGTGACTGAATGGTTAACGCGAGCGCGTTGCATCATAAGGTCTGCCATGGAGTCAAATGGAGTGGTTTCGATTCCCCGCTTGTATGTGACAAGAATGAGGGTCGCCTGTCCTGTTTTCTCCCACTACTAAAGACCCCTACGCGCAAGCGAATTAATGAAATAAACCATATGTTAATCCCGAAACGACCTACTTTGGGTCGAGTAGACACAAATTGACCAAAATGAATTCTAATTCGTGTTTTTAGTTTCGAATTGAATTTAAATGAGAGTGACTGTTATTTTCATGTGTCCTTGTCAGGCCCTCCGTTCTGCACCACTGACATGGGGAAACCACGTCGGAAAATCTGGATGAACTTTCTCGGCCAATGCAGGGATCGAACATCCGACCTCCAGGCTAGCGAGCCAGCGTCTTAACCATCTATAACATTAATATAACAATCAAAGTTGACAAATTTACTGCAATGCCTTCTCGTTATAAAAAGAAGCTGCACATTATGCATTGCTACATAATTCAGTCAACTTGATGGCAATTATTATATGTAATTAGTTTTAAAAGTTTATGCTTATAATTATAATTAAAGATGCATTATGTAAGACGTAGATAACAAGCTGACAGTTCTTGCTATAATAGTTAAAAAATAGACAATGAAAACGGAATATTTTAAAAATTGTTGTCAAATTACTTCATTCTGAGCCAAGTTAGCTGAGTCTCGATTGTCATCACTACCGTTGTTGCGACAGTAAAGACAGTTTCGATTATCCATTTTTTAAATAAATCATTAACTGGCAATCGCTTTTAAATCAAGCGAGTTGATTGTGGACTTGCCATGTTAATAAATGTATAATTAATAATTTGTATAGCATTAATTAAGACCTAAAGAAAGACCTGCAATAGACAGATTTAGCTCTTGAATAATGCAACCTGAACAGTGTGTGTGTGTGTGTGTGTGTATACCACAACAGCATCGGCTATACAACCGTGATCTTACAGATCCAAACAATTGTCTTTGATTGAGAACAGACACTAATCTAGATGATCGACATGTTTATTCCTAAATCAACGATTCTAGTCGAAAACACTTCGAGAATTTTGAGAGGTATTTGTTCCGCTTCCATTCAATAAAATTGAAAAGGTTCATTTAATCGTTGTGTGCATGACATGTATTACATGACTGTACTGAATAGCATACTAATTTTGGAAAATGGCTGCCATTCAGGGCATATATCTATTCTCGAAGTAGATATTTATCTGTATGCAGATTATTACAGATATATACGTATTCTCTCCCACAACTGAACACCATTGGTATTATTAGTATACAATACATCACCATACAGGTGCCACAGGCAGCAGATTTGGTACATTCCATAGCACATTCTGTCTTCTTTTTATAGGTAAATTCTGCCAGCTCCGATCCCAGCATTTCAACTTGATAACTAACACGAGCAAAATAATTACTCAGAGCAAAGTTATCTGAAATATCAATGGTAATTAAAAATAATCAATAAGATTTTTCCAACCAATCTAATAAATTAAATGGATATTACCACATAATGGGTCCAAATGCATAGATGAAATGAAATGAAATGGGGTTTAACGTCCTACTGCTCTGCTACGACCGGGCTAATGGAAACGGACATAAGCCATCCAATGTGCTATGTGGGAAATTCAGTCCGGACAGCGGCGCTACGACCTACTCTTATATCGAATTCCAACACAGCCAATGGTCCTTTTACACTGGCGCTAATATGTACACGGAACTCGGTTGTTCGTCTCATCCGAAGGACTAGACCCTCCGTCCTGCACCACTGACAAGGGGAAACCACGCCGAAAAATCCCGACGCACTTACACCGGGATCGAACCCGCGTACTCCAGGCTAGCAAGCCAGCGTCTTACTCACTTAGCCATAGTGGCTCCCGAAAATGCATAGACACAACAACTAACCGGTGAAACAAAGCTATCCCAGCACCAGCAGAAACGCAGCGCCAGGGGGGGGGGGGGAGCACCATTAATCTGATCTGCCCTCTGTTTGCCCCCCCCCCCCAATAATTATAGAAAATAAAAAAAAGTATTTGTGATACGTTTCGGTCATCAATACCTTCTACGGTGAATAAATCCCACATCCCCACTCAGTCATAAACTTGCATGTTGTAGAGCATTTCCGACAGTCTATTTTTCAAAATTTTCTTGGCGAGGTCCCCAATGGACTCGCCACTTTGGGGCTCACAAGGGGAATTCGTTGAGGTTCGCAAGTCCGTTCGTTTGACATTTTGTTCATTAGTCGGATAAACTAGTGATCCGGCGACGGACGGTATCTGGTCAGATCTATTTATCTCGACGATCGCTGCCTGACAGAATACTGTAAGACAGCATTTCCGGCAGTCTATTTTTCAAAATTTTCTGGGGGAGAACTCCCTACTTTGACGCTCTTGAGTGGGCTTCGTCGTGATTCGCAAGTCCGTTCGTTTGACACTTTACCTCTTCGTTCAGTGTCTGAAATACTGCCAGGCTGCATTTCCGGAAACCTGTTTTTCAAAATTTTCTGAGGCCCCCTACTCTTAGTTAAAGCGCGTGCCTTTGCCCCCTTAACCTTGGAATTTGCCCCAGCTTTGCCTCTCCAATCACCGACGGCTGGCGCCGCCACTGAACGCAACGGCCGTCATATCGATATAAATTAAAGGGTTGTATGATCATCCATCTACATAATCTGGCTCAATTTGCACATACATTTTATTACACCAAAGAGTTAACAATCTGCTTTCAATTGGTTGGCGACTCCGAACATTCGCGTTTAGATAGTTTAAACCGAACATAACATGGGAGCTGCTGTGGCTCAGCGATTACAGTCCTTGTGTTTCTCGGGGATTTTCTGGAGTGGTTTTCACTTGTCAATGGTGTAGGATGAATATCTTTGGCAAGGTACAGCGTCTAGTCGTTCAGATGGGACGACAAACCGAGGTCCTGCATACACGTTGTAATGCAGATAAAAGAACCCCTGGGAGTTGGGCTTAAAAATATAAATAGATAGTCTTAAAGGAAGGTATTGATTGGTATTCTATAATTGTACATTC